GATTTCTCACAAATGGAAAGGTGAAACCATTATCAACCCTGTTACTTGCTCACTCCCAAACATTCGTTTCAATATTCTGTCTAACTGGCAGTTCTCTGGGAAGCAAGCAACACTTTTAGGTTACAACTAGGCCATCGCTTTTATTTAGCACCTATAGTCCCTAAGTAGCTGACCTGACAGCTCAGCCACATTCTGTATTTATGTCTGGTTTAAGATCATTTTATTTTCTTATACTGAAATAAATATATGCTTCCCCCATCCAGAAACAGAAACTGGCTGGCCAGAGTTTTTACACTTGCCATATGCATGAATGAAGGTCCCAGTCTAGGGCAAGGCTGCGTGCACTTCAGAAAAAGGAAGCGATTTAAATGTTATGCTGTATATCAATGAAGTATTTAGCTGAACCCTGAAATCAGTGTATGGTTAGGCCCCTGTCCTTTCCCCCAGAGAAAAAAATTAATTATCATCATCATCCGTTGCCTTCTACTGTGTGTCATGTCCGTTCCCTTTGTTGCTTATATTTTAATTTTATTTATTTATTTATTTAAGTCATCATCATCTGTTGCCTTCTACTGTGTGTCATGTCCTTTCTCTTTGTTGCTTATATTTTAACTTTATGCCAAAATATTAAAATGTGTTGACAATAGAAGAAGAAAAAGGAAGGGTTTGTTTTTGTTTTGTTTTTTTGGTTTTTTCCCTTCTTTATACATGTTCTACTGAAGTGCTATAATAAATCCTTCCTTCCTCATTCTATGACTTGAAAGACTCTGGGATGGATCACAGTATTACCTTGCAGCACCCTCTCAAAAGCTAATGGAGGACTGGATGCAAGCATTATATAGTCACTTGGGTAAGTCTGCATGACTCAGATTTTGGAACATTTCCCCTCATTTCTACCCTATGTGTCCTTGCAAGATGCCAACAAAGTGCTTATGGATTAGTTCAATAACTCAGCAAACTCAAACAAAAGGAAAAATCAGTGCACAAGCCACACATTGTGTGAAGTGAGAATAGACCATAGAATGAACCTGGTTCATTCGTTCGTTCGTTCGTTCGTTTAGTCGTACTTGAACCTGGTATAGTCCTACAACTGCACATCATAAGGAAGGTTTGATCATGGTCATTCATCTCTTTTTAAAGGAAGCTTGCTCACCATTGACAATCTTTTCACTGAGGAGATCCTAATGAACCTCCAAGCAACCCTAGTAATCTCTAGAACACTCTGTAGCCATTGCTCTAGACTCTAGAGCAAGGGTGAACAGTGTCAGCAAGTGCTGGGGCCAATTTTGACCTGATGCTGAACCTCAGGATGGGAGATTGCAGTCGCTCATTTCTCTGTCCATCTACCTGCTATGACAAACATGGGAAATTGTGCCCCTGGAAGCATCTAAGGGTCGTATCTACCCTGTTTAAAAGTTATTTCAGCATCCCCAAGCATCTTTTAGGCCTAAAATAGCCTTGATTTTAAACTGGAAGTGGCTTTTAAAAGAGAATATTTTGAGTCCAAAGCAGGTCCTTCACCTCAAAATTATCTTTGCATGGCAATCATACCAGGCATGAGGCTGCAGGAGTGCAAATGATAATTTTTACATCGAAACACACATTGTGTGGGGTGTTTGGGGCACACTGAGGCCCTGGACAAGGGTGTCAGATGCAAACTGTGAGCTGTTCTTTGCCCATTTCTGCTCCAAAGCAAGGTTAGTTAATGTTTTCATTCTCCAAATTCCATTTCAGAGAAGATCTGCAGAGCAATATTTGAATCATAGGTAGAATGCAAAGCAAAGGAGTGTGACAAAAAGATCAGCATATTTTAGTTCAAAACTGTTGCTTCCACTAGGTAAGGCTTAGGAGAGGCATGATGGTGCAACATGGAATTGGTGTGACCATCTGGGGAACCTAAGAGAGCCATACTGTGGCCCTAGGAGGTCCGCAGTATGGAAGCAACAGTTTTGAACTAAAATTTGACACAGGACCTGGGGTTTCCCACACAAGTGAGAAAGAAATTGACTCTGGAAGACTTGGTCAAAAGTCTTTGATTATAATTTTTTCTGCTGGTGGTTTTTCAGAATGGAACTCCAGTCTTATCAGCCAGCATAGCTGGAGCCAGGTGTGACAGGTTGATGGAGTATTCTAGGAAAGAACATGCCTTCAGCTTAAGGTAAATCATATTGGTGACCACACGAGTGATACAAGTGAGAGAAATATTTTTTTGTTTCTTTCATTTTCTTATACTCGTCAGGATGTTCCCAGAAGTATATGGATCCAAGATGTTTTTGTGGAATTAAATGACACCATCTTTATCATCATTAAAATTGTGTATTTTAGTCAGTGTGGTTATATTGAAATGATAGTGTTCAAGGATTGTGAAAGAGGCAGGTGTCACTTCACAATCCTATTCTAGGCCAAAGCAGGAAGCTTTCTCACAAATGGAAAGGTGAAACCATTATCAACCCTGTTACTTGCTCACTCCCAAACATTTGTTTCAATATTCTGTCCAACTGGCAGTTCTCTGGGAAGCAAGCAACACTTTTAGGTTACAACTAGGCCATTGCTTTTATTTAGCACCTATAGTCCCTAAGTAGCTGACCTGACAGCTCAGCCACATTCTGTATTAATGTCTAGTTTAAGATCATTTTATTTTCTTACACTGAAATAAATATATGCTTCCCCCATCCAGAAACAGAAACTGGCTGGCCAGAGTTTTTACACTTGCCATATGCATGAATGAAGGTCCCAGTCTAGGGCAAGGCTGCGTGCACTTCAGAAAAAGGAAGCGATTTAAATGTTATGCTGTATATCAATGAAGTATTTAGCTGAACCCTGAAATCAGTGTATGGTTAGGCCCCTGTCCTTTCCCCCAGAGAAAAAAATTAATTATCATCATCATCCGTTGCCTTCTACTGTGTGTCATGTCCGTTCCCTTTGTTGCTTATATTTTAATTTTATTTATTTATTTATTTATTTAATTTATATCCCGCCTATCTGAATCACATAGGACCACTCTAGGCGGCTTACAACAGTGACAATTTACAATAAAAATTAATACAATTTTAAAGTAGGGGAAAGTGAAACAAAGACTAGGGCAAAGGAAAAATAGGGAAGGTCAGGAATTGGCGGTGGGGAAGGCCTGCCGGAACATCAGCGTTTTTAATTGTTTTTTAAAGATACCCAGTGAGGGGGCGGCGCGAATGTCAGGGGGAAGGTTATTCCAGAGGCGAGGAGCCACCGCTGAGACTTTATGCCAAAATATTAAAATGTGTTGACAATAGAAGAAGAAAAAGGAAGGGTTTGTTTTTGTTTTGTGTTTTTTTTCTTTTTTCCCCTTCTTTATACATGTTCTACTAAAGTGCTATAATAAATCCTTCCTTCCTCATTCTATGACTTGAAAGACTCTGGGATGGATCACAGTATTACCTTGCAGCACCCTCTCAAAAGCTAATGGAGGACTGGATGCAAGCATTATATAGTCACTTGGGTAAGTCTGCATGACTCAGATTTTGGAACATTTCCCCTCATTTCTACCCTATGTGTCCTTGCAAGATGCCAACAAAGTGCTTATGGATTAGTTCAATAACTCAGCAAACTCAAACAAAAGGAAAAATCAGTGCACAAAATTGTCTCTGATAGTGCCATTGTCTGGAGTTCAGAAACAAATCCTTCGTAATCCTATTTTTCTCTTCTCCTTACAAAGTTTTAAATATGGCTTCTTGAAAACCTCAGTAGCAGACAGTGTTCTTTACTGGAGGAACTGTTATTTTTACCACAGATCCAGCAAGGCCTCAGATAAAACCATGGGTTTCCACAGGCAGAGGTGCTGCTGAAAAGCAGGTTACGAAAGTTCTCCTTCCCAGGTATGCTTTGATTTCTTTATGTCTGACAAAGATTTCCTTTAATATTCCTGTTCAGCTTGTTGTATCATTCATGAAGATGTCAGATAAATTATCTTTTATTATCTGGATGTGCTGCAACATCATGCAAATACACTGGGTGTGCCAAAACACACTACACCACTATACAGTCCAAAGTGATGAGAGTACATGTTTCTAAGAAGTATAACTGTAGAATTTATTAGAATACCAGTATTTTAATAAATACTTAATAAAACAAAATGAAGACATGAACCACTTTTCTGTATCATAGCACACCAACAGTGGATTGTTTTCCAACAATTTTCAAAGAAGTTGCCTTTTTAACCTGTTTCACCATGTATGACATGTAATTGTGATGCCTGTAAGGTTAACTTTGTTTCAGCATGAGCTGAAGGATTACCTCACACTTTTAGCATTACCTTTTCTCCACTTCCTGAGATGTAGAGACAATATTTCTGCTACAGGTTTATAAGCCTCAGGGTAGGTGATCTTGGGGGGTTGGAACGCGAGCAAGGACCAATGACCAATTTGGCAGGCAGCCTGGGGCCTCCCCCACTAAAGCTACCCCAAATTGGTGTTGCAATCTATCCTCAAAATCTGGCAGTGCAGCTTCCCAGCTACTTTCCCAACTTCTCTGCTTCTGACTTCTTTTAAATCATTCAGTGTTTAAAAATAACTTACAGCTTTTATCTTCGCTTAACATCATCATTCTATACCTGACTTGCCTTAACTGTGTGAAGAAATTTTCAGGTATGTTAAGTACTTCCTAGCTTCTTGGTTAATTAGTCATTGGAAACAGAAAAAGTTGTTACTCTCTAAATGAAGATGTCCTTAATCATTTGAGGGAATTCAAGATACAGAAATATAGTCTGACATAAAAATAAAACTGAAATGTTGAACTACTAAATACATTAAAACCATCTAATATAAACATAGTATAGCCACGGAAAAGCAGGGACAGTGGCTGGGGTCCTGCTGCTGATTTTGGAGTAGGGGGAGCTAAGGAATATTTGAGGAAGTCTTGGAGGTTGCAAAAAATTAGTCTAGCAGCTGCACGTGGTACATGAAGATCATAATGGCCACCCCTGATAATTATTCTTGTGTTTATAAGCATGTGGTTAAACATTGTACTTCACATGTCTGATGAAGTGGGTTGTAATCCATGGAAGCTCACTTTGAGATACATACATTCATCTTAAAAGTGTCACAATACTTTTATTTCTTTATTTAATTTCTTTTATTACAGTGGGGTCTCTACTTAAGAAGATTTATTTATTTTATTTCTTTTATTACTTTATTTCTCTAATTGCTGAGAGCTGCCCACAGTAGTGCTCTGTTACTAGACAAGTGGAATAAGAAAGAAAGAAAGAAAGAAAGAAAGAAAGAAAGAAAGAAAGAAAGAAAGAAAGAAAGAAAGAAAGAAAGAAAAGAGCATTTAGCAAATGAATCTGATGTTGACTGAAAAAACTAGATTTCTCAGTGACATAGCATATGGATCTGGAAGTCGAGTCATGGCAACTGGACCTCTTTCTTATTAGGCTGAAATGTTTCGCTATTCATCCAAGTAGCTTCTTCATTCTGAGGACAGTTGGTAGGAGACCCCTGATATTGGTTTCACTTATCCCTGGTGTGAATAGGCTTGTTAGATGGACAAAGGACTGGGGGGTGAGGGAAAATCTTATATCTGCAGTCCTTCTCCACCCATTGTCATGGGTTGCTAACAGTTGATAAGAGTGGTCTTTCTGGTGTGTGTGATCCTGATCTCTAATTGCTGATAGCTGCCCACAGTAGTGCTCTGTTACTAGATAAGTGGAATAAGAAAGAAAGAAAGAAAGAAAGAAAGAAAAGAGCATTTAGCAAGTGAATCTGATGTTGACTGAAAAAACTAGATTTCTCAGTAACATAGCATATGGATCTGGAAGTTGAGTCATGGCAACTGGACCTCTTTCTTATTAGGCTGAAATGTTTCGCTATTCATCCAAGTAGCTTCTTCATTCTGAGGACAGTTGGTAGGAGACCCCTGATATTGGTTTCACTTACCCCTGGTGTGAATAGGCTTGTTAGATGGACAAAGGACTGGGGGGTGAGGGAAAATCTTACATCTGCAGTCCTTCTCCCCCCATTGTCATGGGTTGCTAACAGTCGATAAGAGTGGTCTTTCTGGTATGTGTGATCCTGATCTTTCTGGGGATGGATGAAAGCGTAGCATGATAAATAGGAGACAGATTGTGTCTAAGGCCTCCACCCCTGTTGAGTGAGGGATTTTCAATATGTACATCTATGGCCTCCTTGACCCCTCTGAAGTGGGATTTTCACTCACCCCCCCAGTCCTTTGTTCCCCTATTCAGTCTAGGGGGGAGTGAAACCAACGTGGAGGAGGATATATCTGGGGTCTCCTACCAACTCTCCTCAGACTGAAGAAGCTACTTGGATGAGCAGTGAAATGTTTCAACCTAATAAGAAAGAAGCCCAGTTGCCATGACTCAACTTCCAGATAACCTCACCTAGATGACTGAGAATCTTCACAGATATAACATATGAATGTTTTAAGGAAAAACATTTTGGTGTTATAACACAACAGATTTTCAATTTGTCAATTTTTGAATTGTTTTTGTTGTAGCTGTCTTGAAAGTAAAGGATGTAATTCCCTTTCTTCCCTCCCCTTTCCTTTCATTTCTGTAAATCTGTATTTTCAGTGACAGCTAACGTCTATTAACACCTTTTGTTGATAGGAGAACTCCTTCCTTCAAAATTATACAAGAAAAAAGACCTATGGGCAGTTCTGGTAAATCAGAAGGATTACCTCACGCTTTTAGCATTACCTTTTCTCAGAATTCTGAAGACTCTGGTAATACTGAGACTTTTTTAAACTTTAGTTAAGAATATACTTATGAAAAACAAAATTATAAAGGCTAAAAATGAAGAGATGCTGTGTGATATACTTTATTCTTTCTGCCACATATTGACTGAAATTCTGTTGCACAATTATGCAAACAGTATAACTTTTAGAGGAAAATTGCCATAACGTAAGAAACCTTTGTAGAACTTATTTGTTGCACGTGAGTTGTAGAAGATCAATCTATGCTTTATAGACTACAGCAAAGCCTTTGGCTGTGTAGATAATGAGAAACTATGAATTGTTATGGGAAAAAAATTGGTGTGCCTCAGCACTTGATTGTCATCATGTGTAACTTGTATTGTGGACAAGAAGCTACCATTAGGAAAGGGTATGGAGAGACAGAATAGTTTCCTATAGGCAAAGGTGTCAAAGAATGGTGCATCTTATCTCCTTAACTGTTCAATTGGTATGCAGAACATGTCATACGGAAAGCTGGACTGGATTCATATGAAGGAGGAGTGAAAATCAGTGGAAGAAACATCAATAATTTATGATACGCAGATGACCCCCATCTTACTAGTAGAAAGCAGCCGCTCAGAGTGGTCTACTCGACCAGATGGGTGGGATATAAATCAAATAAATAAATAAAATACAATAAATCATCTATCTGACAATCAGGTTCTCACTTCCCAACTGATTTAGTTCCAGAGGTGGTGTTGTATAGAGTTTAAAGTGAAATGCAAGTGATATTTAAGAGTGGACTTTGCTTATCGCTTTTGGATTGTATAATTTATTAAGTTTTTGTATAATTAAGTTTTTGAAGAGTGACAGCAGTCCATCTGCAATTTATTTATGGTGTGAGATGCAAAGTGATTGACTCGAGTCAAGCTCCACCGAGTCAATCACTTTGCATCTCACACTGAAGTCCACATTCCTACACCGTGTGATTCTACAATGGACTGATGAGTCAAGATCCACCATCAGTCCATTGTAGAATCACATGGTGTAGGAATGTGGACTTCAGTTTTAGGAGGAGACCATCAAATCCATCTTTTGCCTCCCACTCTTCAAAACTGGTGAATGTGTTGTGATCAGCAAAAGGCATTATGACTACAGTATACAGTTTTAATGCTGACAATAAAGAAATTGAAATACTTAGAGTTTTTTTATATGCCTTGGTTTCAATTATCAATCCAAATGGAAGCTGTAGCCAAGAAATCAGAAGTAGACTGAGACTCAGTAAGGGCAGCAATGAAAGAATTGGAAAAGATCATCAAGTGTAAGGATGCGTCACTGGAGACCAAGACCAAGATCATCCACACTCTTGTATCTCTGATCCCCATGTATGAGTGTGAAAGCTGGCCAGTTAAGAAAGCTGACAGGAAAAAAAAGGTTTGTTCAAAATGTGGTGCGGAAGATGTTTTGCAGATTCCCTAGAGTGCCAGAAAGACACACAAGTGGGTCCTAGATCAAATTAAGTGTGAACTAACTCTGGAGGCAAAAATATTGAAACTGAGGCTGTCCTTTGGGCACATCATGAGAAGGCAGGATTATAGACAACAATGCCGGGAAAGGCGGAAGGCACAGGAAAGGAGGAAGACCAAATATGAGATGGATTGACTCCATCAAGGATGCCACAGCCCTGAGTTTAGAAGAGTTGAGCAGGGTGGCAGATGACAGGACATTTTGGAGATTACTCAGTCATAGGGTTCCCATGAGGCAGGTGTGACTTGGTGTACATAACAACAACAAAAGGAGTCATGGATCTCTTGCACTTTTCTATTTCTGTATATTATTTGGAGCACCGTTTTTCTTTGCCTGTCCTAATTTTATTTAGGCCTTATTGTGTAGCTCTCTTTATTTAATGCCATCTTTTCTGACCATTTTTCTCTCTTCCGATAGGTCTAATATTACTTCTCTGATCCAGTTCTTTTTCATTTACATTTACATTTCTACTGCTGAGACTGCTATTGGCTACATCTCCTAATAACCCCTGAGAGTGATTAGCATTCATGTCTGAATTATTTGAATGTATGATTATATTGATGTCAGGAATCTCCTGTGTGACAACAGTGTATATAATTGAAACATTTAATATTTTAACTTATATGCCTTTTCTGCCTTTACTGTTTTGTATTATCTTTAATTTGAAACAAACTGCAGTGATGGAGGTTTAAGATCCAAATTTATGTTAAATCTCAGATAAGTATTTATCACGTTAACACTGTCTTGGTGCACCTAATATACCAGGGTAACCTATTTGGTTCTTGACAATATTTTTGTTTGAGTAGTCTTCTGGGGCCTTGTCTCTTTAATGGTAATCAGAATGTTGTGTTGGCCATTATAAGATCATTTTCACAAAACTGATTATTTATTCTGCACATTCAGTCCATGTTTCTAGTCCGTATTTTCTAAGAAGATCTCTGCAGGTTTCTTGGCTTATCTTACCATTAAAAACCTGCATCGTGAAATTTAAATTTTGGTTGTTGTTGTTGGTTTGGTGGTGGATGTTTGTATATTTTTTAACAGCTTTGAGTTTTTCATAAAAAAATTATATCCTTTCTTCATCAGCAATTGGGGTACATACTTGTGCATTGGGGCCTGTGAAAATTCCCTTTGGTTGGATAAACGTTAGCTAGTCTGAGTAGAGATCTGTTAACTCACTAGAGATCTATTGATGTCTCATTTCAGATGCTTCATCTGTGACCTCCATAGTATCAGATCCAGCAATTCAGGGGATATCCACTCCATCAGATCCCCCACCAAGCTATGATGGGTCAGAAGTGTATAATGGAGGAGACAAGGGGATTCTGGAACTGGAAGCTCAAGGTAATAACTTAGGCCAAAAAAAAAGAGGGAATACATAATAATAAATGTAATATTCAACTCATAACATCAGAAGAGACAGCTAGAAAAGTATTGGTTCATATTTAAACTCAGTTTAATAGAGCTTATTATCCTTGCTGGATTGAAGATGAATGAAAAGCACTTCAGTTTAAACTGCTATAAAATATATGATTTTAATTTATCTCAGGGACACCGCCATCATAGCTGACATGTTTGTAAGCGTTCTCCATGCCTTGGCACATTGCTCATTGGCAGTATATGATTTTAATTTATCTCGGGGACACCGCCATCATAGCTGACATGTTGGTAAACATTCTCCATGCCTTGGCACATTGCTCATTGGCCACTTTGCTCTGTTGTCTCAGTTTGAAAAAACAGGCATTTTGCTGAACTGTAGAAACAGAGCAGAAAGGATTCAAGAGTGAAATTAGCCCAGTTGTTTTCTGACAGAGGTAGTTTAGACATATGCCCATGGCATCATGTAAAGCAGAAGTTTGATGAGCTGCTAGCTTTGTTATTAGAGATCAGGAAAGAGATATTGTTGGGTTGGTGGACAACTCAATGAAAGTGTCAACCCAGTGTGAAGCGGCAGTGAAGAAGGCCAATTCCATCCTAGGTATCATTAAAAAGGAGATGGAAAACAGAATAGCCAACATTATAATAGCATTGTACAAAATGCTGGTAAGGCCACACCTGGAGTATTGCTTACAGTTCTGGTCGCTTCACCTCAAAAAAGACACGGTGGGACTGCAAAAGGTACAGAAGAGAGTGACTAAAATGATGACTGGGCCTTATGAGGAAAGGCTGCAATGTTTGCGACTCTTTAGTCCAGACAAAAGGTGCCTGAGGGGGGACATGATTGAGACATATAAAATTATGCAGGGAGTGGATAAAGTGGATAGAGGGAAGCTCTTTTCCCTCTCACACAATACCGAAACCAGGGGACATCCACTCCAATTGGGAGTTGGGAGAGTGAGAACAGACAAAAGAAAAGACTTCTTTACCCATCATGCTGTTAGTCTGTGGAACTCCTTGCCACGGAATGTGGTGATGGCATCTGGCTTAGATGCCTTTAAAGGGGGATTGGACAGATTTCTGGAGGAAGGGTCCATCACAGGTTACAAGCCATGATGGGGATGTATAATCTCCAGGCTAAGAAGGAAGGTACTTCATCATCTTTGTCTCAATTCACTCAAATGAAAAATGCTTTAATTAAATGCTATTTAGGTCCATCGCAGTTTACAAGCCATGAAGGGGATGTTTAATCAGTACCTTTGTCTCAATTCACTCAGATGAAAAATGCTTTAATTAAATGCTATTTATACATACGGAAACAGTGAGTAGCCAGTAAATGTATAGGTTTAGTTGGAAATTAATAATCTATTTGGAAATTAATGGTCAAACTAAACAATGTGTTTAGCATGTTTTTAGAAGAGATTTCTCTCAAATGGTAAAATATGTTTGTTTGTCATAGCATGTTATTTTCTTTGCCTAGGCATCTAACATTTAATAGGGTTTTTTTTCAGCAATTAGCCATTAGATGGGGAAACAGCAAATGTGTTTGCTGAGGAACGTAAGTCTGAGGTAATCTGGTTGTAGCAGGGATCGAAGCAAATGCACATTCTCCTTAACATACAATTCAACTCTAAGACTTCCACTCTTCCTAGCAGAAATAAAATAGCTTTATTTTGATTTCTTAATCTACGCTCCACACCTTGGAAGTTCGAGCACCCTTGATTTAGATCTTAAATAGAACCTATCCTTTAGGAAAGATGTAAAGATCATTTAGAAAAGCAGTAAAGATCCTTTAAAAGTCAGGGGAGGCAGCTTCTCCCTTCCTCCCTTCCTCCCTCCCTCCCCCTGACCCTTCTGGACCTTCTGTGGACTGGACGAAGACACATCTACTCTCTCATTTATAGGGTCCAGAGCAATGTAACAGGTCACTTTGTGGTCATGTCTAGTTTTTGTCTGAAGGAAGAGTGGGGTGTATAAGTTAAGAATTTGGGAAATGAGTATGTTGCATAGGAATTTAATCCAAATTAAACCAAATCAAGTGAGAAGCTAAGGTTGGCTAGGAATTATGCAGAACTCCTAGTGGGGATATAATGAACTAAAATATTTGCTCCCAGTTGCCCAGTGTCTGCATGAAGTTCCTTCTTTGTCTTATTACTAGCTTGGCCTTCTTCCACGGCTTGAATTTCTGCATTTGGGAAGTACATCAAACACAGATCACCAGCCAATCTGCCATAGGATCTGTAATATATGCAGTAAATCAGCTCTGCATAATTCTCTGACAGTTCAGGATCTGTAATATACAGTATGCAGCAAATCAGCTCTGCATAATTCTCTGACAGTTCCATAACAACACCTACACAACCACTAGACAAGTTCATCTAGCCATAGCTATCAAGCAAAGCCGAGGAGCCTCTTGTCCTCTCTAATAAATGCTACAGCTTGGGGAAAAAGTACTGTTTTAAACCAGTAGTTCCCAAACTGGGATCCCCAGATGTTCTTGGACTGCAATTCCCAGAAGCTTTCACCACTTGCTGTGCAGACCAGGATTTCTGGGAGTTGCAGTCGAAGAATGTCTGGGGACCAAAGTATGAGAACCACTATTTCAGACTACAACTTCCAGAGTCCACCAGCAAGGATTATAGCTAATATATTCTATCCCCAAGTAGTAATAATTGAACAAGGTTAGGCATAGATCCTATCCTTTTTTAAAAAGGTATACCATATGCCTGCAATGGTACTTGTGTAAGCAGTTCTCCTCCATTGTGAGTGTGTCTCCTACATGACAGGATGTGCACCACTTGCACAATGGACCAGTTGTGCGATAGACACCCTGGCAAAGAGGAGAAATTGCCTGAGCAATAATCATGGTGCACACATGGGTATTCTGCTGTAGCATTTGGAAAATGGTATCTCATCACTGTCCAGTCTGGTGTAGTGGATAGAGTGACAGACAAGAATTCACAAGACTTGGATTCAAATCCCCACTCAGCCAAATAACCCACGAAGAGAGGTGGGGGGGGTAGAACTGCTAAAACCTCTCCTTAAATATGTCACTTACTTTGAAAGCCTTTGAAAGGACTGTTATAAGTTAGTTCTTCTGACTTGACAACACATACCTAACTATCTCATAACTGACTGCAATAATTGCTTTTCCATTATAAGAGCTCAGTCACGGCAACACTTTACAGTATATGATGTTATAAGCATAGTGGATGCTTTGCATGCAGAATGTCCCAGGTTTATAGCAACACTTTATATGATGTTATAAGCATAGTGGAAAAGTGTATGCTTTGCATGCAGAATGTCCCAGGTTTAATCTTTGGCATCTCTAGAGAGGGCATGAGAAGATTTCTGTGCAAATCCTTAGAGAGATAAGACTAATGTTGACTAAGTTTGGGGTTTTATAGCCTCCCAGCTGTTTTTCTTAGCAGCCAACATCACTGATCATCCAAGCTACTGGTGGATATATTGGAAACCGGAGTCCAACAACAGTTTTTCCACTGCAATATAGAAAATGCTTAGCTACCTGGAGCAGATGGATCTTGACCAGCACCAGATTTGCAGGATCTGAAATTAAGGTCTTTCTAGCTTCAGTTGTTCAGGATTATTTAACTATACATGCCAGGGACTGAACCGTAAACTCCACTAATGAGGGGAACATGTTCTACTGCTAAACTACAGCTATCGCATTTGGCAGAGACAGAGAAAACATCCTTGAAGAATTAAATGTTCTATTATTTTGGCCAAAATCCTATTGGTGCCACATAAGGTTTGCGTAACTTGCTGTGGCAGATTGCAGCTAATTGGCAAGGAGTTGGGATGTTTCTTTGTTGTGTGTCTGGTCACATGTCTGATTGCACAACTGAAGTATGCTCTTGACAATTAGCCATGGAAACTAATGCAAACCTTACATGAGCACCAATTGGTATTCATGTAAATACTGATTCCAGCCAGTATTTATTGGTTTCATGTATACCCCAACTTTCTCCAATGAGCTTACAGGAGTGAACCTCTCTCCCCTTCCCACTGTATCCCCCCAACAGCCCCGTGAGATAGATCAAGTTGAAGCACTACCTTATCCAGGCTACCCAGGGACTAGAGTCAATATTTTAAAGTCCTAGTCTAGCACTGTGCCTACCACATCTGCAACACAGTGTTCGTGTTATACTTATCTCACCAAATAATTTTTCATCATCCTCATTTCAGCTCTGACAAAAACTCTCTTCATTTATTTTCAGAAATCAGAGCTGAACTCACCCCTGAAGTAACCAAATGTTCAGATGATCCTCAAACTCAAGGCCTAAAGGAATCGGATGTCAAGAAGCAGAAGAAACGGAAAGAGAAGAATGTATTCAAGAAACTTTTTTCCAAAAAATAATATCAGCAAAGGGGAGACAATGTACCAGTTTCCTTCGATATGCCAGCCGGTTCACTCCATTGTACCCTGCTGCCTTCAGGCTTTGGTAAAACATGGACAGAGGCAGAGGGTAATAGTAACACTGAATTGATATTCCAGACAATATAAAAAGAACAAAACAGTGCCACTGCCAGTAATTACTATGCATTGCATATTAGACCATGTTCTGCAGGCTATTTTAAGCTCCATGCATTTTGAGGCCATAAAAGTAGGGCTATAGAACTGGCCATTCTGCGCATGTTCACTGTAGTGGAACGTTTACTAAAGGACAAAGAAGGGAAGACTTTAATGTATGAGGATGTGGTTTGTTTGTATTTTTAGCCATAGAGAGAGAGAGAGAATAATCACATGAAATGGTCTCCATGAAAATCTAGGATGCTTGGGAGATGGCAGTTGTCTCTGCCCCTGGCATGACGTCGTGTCTCCAGTCTTACTCCTGACATCACTAGGGTGAGCATGAGCATCTGTGGAGATGAAGGCAACCTGTGGACCCCATACAGCCTTCCCAAAGCTAGGAAGTCCCCCCCCCCACTCCTCCCAAGCCAGCTGACCCAGGGAATGGAAAAGGACATGGGTTAAGCAAACCCAGAGTCAGCAATCTAAGTTGGGAATGGAAGTGTTAAACTGTTGTTTTACTGATGCTGATAACAATGGGAAAATAGCAGTCTTGGACAGCATCCTTAGCTAGTGACAGAGCCTCTCGACCTATGCCCTAAGCTATCTGAACATTGCTAAGATAGCAGCAGGAACACAGCCATCTTGGAGAAGATTTTTAAACAGAAGCCAGAGCTGAACTCCCACTTGGATCATCCTTCAGTGATCCAAGTGGGAGAAACTTTAACCACCAAACTCTCTCTCTCTTTCTTTCTCTCTCTCTCTCTTCCCCCACCCTCCCCTGCCCTGACATATAGGAACCCTACGTATGGGAATCTACATGATCAGGATTCCCAACTGACAAGAATGCTGTGCTTGTAGATCTCTCCATGTGTAGCATGCCCCTGCGAAGATATTACCACTCAGTCCACGGCCATTTGGGATAGGTACAGAGAGGCCATGATGGTGAGGAATGGGGCCGGCTGTGCAGTTCCTTGTACACTAGAACAAGAAATCCCTTCTTGTGATTAACATGTAGGTGGCTTTTTGAAACAATAATCTTTTTAAGGCCAGTCAAACCAAACCAGGGGTGCCTCTGATTTCCGGGTGCTTTTGAAAACAAAAATCAAGTTTAAAGTCTAGAAGCAAAAACATACCTACATTTTTTGTTGTTGTTCAAATGCTCCAAAATTGTTTCTAAAGAAAACTAGATTTCAGAGACGGTGTAGAGTGAAAAACAGATTTTATTCTGACCTTTCCCTAGTGTAAACTAATGGCTTTTTTTCATGTTTCTCTTAAAATAAAACCAAATAAACGCAAGACATTTATAGTATGTTTTATTATGAAATTCTGATTGACATGTTGCTACATAATAGTTGTAGTTTTACCTGAGATTTTTGTCACAGTAAAAAAAAAGGCTCAATTTCCTCCATCAACTTGCATTTGTAAGGAATAAGGGCATTTATTCTGTTTCTTCTTACCAGACTCTGTTTCTGCCTATCTTGGCAGATTGCATGTATTGTTTGAAAGTACAGGTTATTTATTTAATAATAAGAAAAGTAACTATCAAATTCTTCATGTGAGTACAGTATATTTCAAGGGACTAGTTATGTTGGTATCTTTGTAGGAAAAACAATAGTCTTGTGGGAGTGAGAAGCCTAGAAAATGTTGGCACGAGCTATCAGGAACTGCAACCCAGTGATTCAGATGCTTAGGGTGTTGGCAGATTATTATGTACCTGTCTGGATAAGAGTGAGGTAGACAGAAATCTGGGTGGTTAAATGAAATGCCTGGTTCAAACCTGTGGGTCATGTGTCTCTCTCTGATAGAATTTAAGATAACAAGAATTCCTCAAGAGGATCACATGTCAGCTCCAGCGGCTTAAATAGAAATAAACATTTTTTTAAAAAATCACATTATACATGTTTATAAACACTTGGTGTTATGTAGCGGACAGAGTGACTGATTAGGACTCAGAAGACCTGGGTCTGAATCCCTGCTCAGTCATGGAAACTCAGAGGATGAGATGGGTAGCACTTGTAAAACTACTCCTTAAGTATCACATTTACGTTGCTTGCGAACTTCTGCAAAGTATCTTGTGCGCTACCTTTAGAAACAGAATGGTGGATTATTCCCCATTCGAGAATCCATATTCCCCTTTAGTTTGATGTAATACAGTTGTTCTTATGTTTTTAACTATTCTGTATTTGAAATAATGTGCCACCTTCCTTATACTGCCGTTATGTGTGATTAAGTCAGAACCGTCTCATAGCAACCCTACTGGGTTTTCAAGGCAAGGTATTTAAGTTCCTCCCCTAATGAGTGTCCATGGAAGAGCTGGATAATTGAACGCAGATCTCCTGAGTCCTAGTCCATTACACTATTCACTGCACCACACTGGGTACATCTATACTGTCAATAGAAAACCTTAATGCACTCTTATTGAAAGCATGAGCTGATGAAGCTAAATTATGTGATCACAGTTTTGAAAGCATTTGACATAGGTAGCTCTGCTATTGAATTCAGCAAGGAATTGTCCTAGAATTGTAATTAAATTTACCAAGCACTTATTTTTAACCTGCGAGTGCCTAGCAGTGAAATTGATACACTTCCATTTAATAGAGTTTAATAGGACTGCTTCCCAGTTAAGCAGGCAGAAGACTGAATAAAACTTGCCATACTTTTTCCCAGTTACCTCCTTTTGCCTGTCACATTTCTATGTACTATACAGTATAGTACATATACTACATTCTGTACTATTTCTATATACTAAGGAAAATGTAAATATACCTTTTCTAGATGAACTTTGCAGAGTTTGAGATATGTGAAAATTTTTGGTATACCTCCAGCATGTAGCCTGAAGTACAAATCAAATTAACCCACATATACAGTATATCCATCATTTTGACATACAATATATACTATATATAATTATAGGGCTTTTCAAGGCCTACCCTCAGGTTCATAGTAACATCTTCCAGACCATTTAGAAGTAAATCAAAACCAGATTTTACAGCATATGGTCCTTTTCCAAAAAGAAACTTGAAAAACTCTTTTTTTAAATCCGTAGATCAGAATTACTTTCCACTAGCACAAACATTCCAAATTAAACTCGCCAAGTTTCTGCAGCAGCTTTTGAGTGGGGCCTAACATTGCTGTCAAAGCATCCAGTTTTACTGTTGTCTGTGGACTATAACTCCCAGAATCTCATGGCCAGCAGAAAGAATCAGACTTTTGCAAACAACAGGCCTACTGAATCAAAGCATCTAATAGCACAATTCTGTGCGCTGGTGGAAGGAGTTTAGAAAAACAACCATGTTGTGCTAACAGTACTGATTCCATCCCAGGCAAAAAAAAGAGAGACAAGGTTGAAGGAAATTTTAGATAAAACCATTGCAGAGAAGAGTTGGAAATACCTAAATAACTGCCTTATAAAGAGAGTCAGATCAAACATGCACCTAACCAAACCAGGTGCCTTCCACAGGTCCCATAGTCCATAATTTCGTAATAGCTAGCTGTGGAGTTATGGGATTTGTCCTTCAACTCATCTGGGGGAAACTGACCTCGGTTGATACTAGTAGTTCTGACTGGCAGCTAGTCTCAAAGTCAGTCCATGCAGATCTCACACAGTGGCCTTTCCCTGGCATGCAATTAGATCTGAGTCCCATATAGTCACTTTGTCACACTTAGCTATAGCCTCTTTGCAGCATCACTAGTTTAAAAATTATTGCACCCTGACTGCATCAGGGCTATGTGCCAAGCACTTCAATGTGTACATTCCTTCAATAAAACACAGCAAGATAAATGAGAATGGAAAATAGCAAAGGGAAGGCAATATGGTATTTGTTGACATCTTGGACACATTTCTGTAATATCACATTTCATTAAATTTGAGTTCAGTCCACAACATATTTGAAACAAGAGGAACTGAGTTGAATTTGATCTGTAAATTAGCTATTAAAAAGAGGCAATGCAAGCAAATAAGACAATATTGAAAATAATGCATTAAAAATATAAGGTTAATTCATGAAGCAACAATGGTACTTCTGTGATTCACAGCTGAAATGTATCAGTTCTTTTAAGGTTAGAAAATTACCAAATACGGAATGGAAATAGTTATTTCAGCATGGAAATAAAGAGAATGTGTATTTATATGATGTAATTACATGTTATTGGAATCAGATCATTCTCTCAATGTGTCATTTTCGTAGGTACTGGAATCCCATTAATTTACCAATGAAGCAGATCGGCTGTGCAAAATATTATTCATGAGTCCCCAAGACTTTCCCAGTTATTAATATATCAAAAAGGATATTCACTGTCCTAAAATTACTGCAAGAGGTTGTAACACTGATTCAGTAGCCTCAGCCAAACTTCAAGCCATTGATTCCCAACAACACCAGATTCTGACTGAAGGACTAGCATTCTTCATGGCTATGAACTTCGTCTGCTTCCAGAGAGGGGCTAATTTAGCTATAACAATCAAAAGGCATTACACACGCCTTTTCTGTCTTTCACTCCTTAACAGATGAGTTGGAGTTAAAGAGAAAAGACAGAAGGTGGTAGGGAACCACAAAATGGAATGGCTGTGCATTTACAATTTAGTAAATATGTAAACATGTCAAAATTCATCAGCTCCACCTAGGTCGGATGGGAACTGCACAAGTATCCATTACAAGCTTAACGGAAAACTGATGATTAGGACTGCTTCCAATAATGTATGTGCTGGAGCCACCCACCCTTGCACCCACCCATCTTCCAGCAGTCAAAATTATTTTCTAGGATGAACTGGTGTTTAAACGTCTGGGCCAGATGTTTCGCTTCTTTTCCATTGCATATTGGATGGCCTGAAAGATGAAGTCTTTGCTACAGAGGATATTGTAGCTGCTGAGGTTCAGTAGTTTGTCAAAATCATCCTCAGAATAGGTTATATGGATGGTTGCATAGGGCGAGCTCATTTTGTCCATGTTCATTTCACCTCCTTTCATTTCTGAAGGCGTGCGTTTTATCCCTGTATGTATGTAAAGAACCACTTGTGAGTGCACATTATTGACAATTTCGCAGGGCATTTTTAGCTGGAAGCTTTAAAGATTGCTGCTTTGGAGGCAAGACAGAAAATGTCAAACCAAACTAATCCCACATCATCCTATTTACTATAGCCTTTTTTTACTATGAGTGAGGATACAGAATAACTACTTATTACGCACTGCTCAGTTTGCCAAAGGATGACAAATTTGAAGGTAGATGCCAATCAGGTTTCTTTTTCAGTAAGAAAGAAACTGTAGACTGTTGAGCATGCAGAGGCAGACGGATAGTGCTAGCCTGGAAAACAGCATCCACTTCTTGTCAATAAAGCTGATTTGAAAAAAGAAACAAACCTTCCATCCAGCCAGCTGAAAAACCAAAATGGGTTTTCTCCCTTGCTAACTGCTGTGCTATGCATCTCTGAACACTGGTTTCATCTTTCCTTACTTGGAATGCAAGCATCTTATTTCTGATGCTATAAACCTTCACAGGCTATTGAAGAAAGACTCCGTGGTGTCCTTGAGAAAGTACCAGCTCATCCTTAGTAACCATTAGCAAGCATGCCAGCATCTAAAAGTTCTCAAGTTATAAACTCTAATGATACAAACTAGAATAAATATTTTAATCATCTTAAAACTGCAGAGCTGAAAGGGACCCTATGGATCATCGAGTCTAGCCCCCATCAAGGAGCCACAGTGGGGAATCAAACTCCCAACCTCTAGCAATGCAGCCGGATTCCTTAAACCACTGAGCTATCCAGCAGTCCTGGAGCCTTGTTCCTCCTATTTATAGTATCAGGATTTGCTTTGGAAATACTGTTTTTCAAAGCATTATCTTAAAAAAATAGTTCAGAGCTATAGTTTACAGGGTAATTACATGACATCAATACCAGTTGTTTCTTGCCTAACCTACATGTAACTCGAACTGCCTGTGGTAGCATTAAGTATTTTATTCTCTGTATTGTTTCTTGCAAAGAAGCAGCCCAATTTACCCTGTGGTTTCCAAGCCATCCCAGAGAACTATAAATGCAACAGTGGCAGCAAGCTGTGCAAAAATCTCTATTTGAGACTATTTAAAAATAGTTCTCTCTGGTTTTGAATGTAACCTACAGGCTTCTGCGGTACGAAAGCCTACTATGCTGTCCTGCTTCCTGACTTCTTACTTGTACAGTTTTACAGCTGCAGGCTCCAGCTCAGAACTCGGAATGCTTTTCTGTCTGGAATTCATGTTTGCTTGTCTCCAATTAACAGCTGGAGCCCCAGGTGGAGCACTGAGAGTCTTGGCTCTTACATTCTTTCCATATACTCTCATCAGCCTTTTATTGGGAGGAAAGTGGAATCTTATGTTGCATCCATTATATACAGATGTGTTTTATTTCTGCTCACATTCATATGGGAGATGTAGATTCATTATGTTCAGCACATATAAGTCAATGTTATAAATATTTTCAAACAGCATACATTTTTTCTGATTATAGCACTTGGCCTTTTAGAAAAAATGGGGGGGAGGGACACAACATAGCTGCCCAGAGTGGTAGAATATACCAGATGGGTGGGATATAAATCGAACAAATAAATAAATAATAAATAAATAAACCAACGCCCACTGTAGGAACACAACCAAGGCCCACTGTATATAGACACATGGCCCAACACTGCTGTACAGTACTGAACTTCCTTTGATTTCAAAACCCTCGAAACAGCAAGCAGCCCCTTCTCATGGAGGAAGCACTAAGACTAGCGGCAGCGTTATGGTCAGTGTCTACACATCTGGAACTCTAACTACAGAAGCTGCCCCATCAATCCAGCAAAGAGCTTGTCATGTGCCCATCACAATAGCCCACATCTTGTCAGCTCACTAAAGCCGCTTCTGCAACTGGAGCTCTCTGCGCACATAAACACTGAACTGGCTAACATGTTACTTGTAAAACATTAACTTTTGGCAAACCAAGGGTAAAACAGCAGTATGCTTGTCATGCGCCCATCACACATAGCCCACATCTTGTCAGTTCACTAAAGCAGCTTCTGCAACTGGAGCTCTCTGCACACATAAACACAGAACTGGCTAACATATTATACTTGTAAAACATTAATTTTTGGCAAACCAAGGGTAAAACAGCAGTATCTTATTCTCACAAAATGTCATCATTTTCATCTGTGCAATAAAACAAACCAAGGGTAAAACAGCAGTATCTTATTATCACAGAAAGTAACAACTGCTAATGTCATCATTTTCATCTGTGCAATAAAAACATTTACCTGTTACTTGGGGTGAGAGGTGAAATGGTTTCTTGAGAGTTTTTGGAAACACTTTCCCCCCCACATTTTAAATTACAGTATTCTTTGATTTGGGGGATTATTTTCAAAAAAAGAACTCAAAAGCAACGAAAAACTAATGTCTAACATAGTGAGTTAATAAAAACATAACATTTTTTCACCATGTTAACTGTTTACTTTGGGAGTGTTTGTGTTGAGTTATATTACAACTTACTTTTTAAAAATAATTTTCCAAACTCTGAGAAATTCAAGCATAACAAGGGTATTTCCCCACATCGATGCCAACTGAGTAGAAAGTAAAGGTCTGCGGGTGAAAATGTTTAAACATACACACGTGATTTGTACAATGAATTATGCATTTGGGGAGTAAGTTGGCTAACACGGAACATACCTGGCGCCTTGTAGTCCTTGAAGGTGTGGCATATCAGTGGAAAGCAAAGTACTATTGGAGCTTTGGGATTATCTTCATCTGAGAACACATAGCACTCCTTAGGATTCCGCCTATCTTCTTCACTTGGCTCAATCTTGGGAAAAGGGATACCTTGCACTTCACAGTACTTAGCCAACATCTCTGCTTGCTGGAGAAGAGAAGATTAAATCAACTGTGCTACGCATGCCATATGCTTAGTATTATTTTCTGAGCTGCCTTGCAAGTAACTTTATCATTGTGAACACAAGAAAAATTTGGATGAAAAATTTCTGGCTCCAAAGCAAAATTAAAGTCAAAATAGATGTGCTCCCTTCCCCCAGTGTTTAAAACTCTAAACCAGCTGCAGGCAGCAGGGAAGGGTGAACTGAGGGCCTAGTCACACAGCCAAAAAAAAAACAACAACAAAAAAAAAACCCTGGAATTTGACCTGTGCTGAGTTTCACATTCACACAATGAAAAAAACCCTGGAATTTGACCTGTGTTAAAAACTGTGCTGAGTTTCACATTCACACAATGAATTCCAAGGTGTGGATTTATCCTTTTCTTAGGAACCGAGTTAATATAAATGGCCACCAGAAGGCTTGTTTATTTTAGCATGCTGTTTTCGTAATCAGCTTAAGCCTAATTGTGAACCTTACAGCCAGTTTAAAAGGGGAGCAAAACCCTGGAATTTGACCTGTGTTAAAAACTGTGCTGAGTTTCACATTCACACAATGAATTCCAAGGTGTGGATTTATCCTTTTCTTAGGAACCGAGTTAATATAAATGGCCACCAGAAGGCTTGTTTATTTTAGCATGCTGTTTTCGTAATCAACATAAGCCTAATTGTGAACCTTACAGGCAGTTTTAAAAGGGAGCATTTCAATTACTCAGTAGGAACGCAGGAAATGACTCAAAAACCATGTGACTTAATTTGGCTAAAGTTAAAACACTACATACTGTGGGGGTTTTTGAGGCTCTTAAGTCAGCAGTGCTGGAGGAAGACTTTTTAACTCTTCCGCACCACAGCATTATTCCAAGGGAAAAATCAGTCTCCTCTCCTGCTTAGTGCTCTAGAGACATTGCTATTATCATTCCAGGTGAGTGGGAGAGAGGTGGGAAGGACAAACACTGCAGAACACTAATGTTTTATGAAACAGCCTATTCAAGAACAAAACATGACGCCTGTGAAGGTTAGAGAAAATCACTTTCAGAACATTTTAATTGATTCAGAGATTCAGCTGTATGTAGAAATATGAAGAACTTTGACAGAGACACCCAATGGCTTCTACATAAATTGGATGTCATTCATGTTGTTTCTTTCTGTTAGTCCACTGAATCATTTCAGACTTTCAAATCCCAGCTTCATGACTTTTTATGGGAATCATGTAATTGCTTTCAGTGCTAAAGTAAAAACGTAAAAATTGTACTGTGCAACCAATCCCACTGTGCCCTGAGAACTGGAAGAGTACGGTTGGGTTCAAATATGGACATTAATCTACCACATTAATCTATGCACATTAACTCCAGATCACATCCATTACCTTTATGCACTAGTCAAGAAAGTGTTCACCTTATCCTGAACTTTTCTCCTTCAGAGGTCATATAATCCTGCTCCTTGTTCCTAAAGTTCTCTTGATACCCCTTGTTGAATTGGCTTTCAGCTCCAGTGGTTGTTGCTAAGGTGGCCCACGATGTGAGCTAAAGGGGCATTACAGACCAAAACAACACAGTTGCCTTCTCCTTCAGACCTTGCATTGCTTGTGGGTATTACTCTGTATTCATTTCAGTCAAGTTTCCGTTCTTCCATGATATCCTCAAGGAACTAGAACCAACTCTTCTAACTGACCCAGCCTGGCCTGGTATAAGGCACTTTCCTGTTTGCCCATCCAGCCTAGCATTGACCATTAATAGCATTCCAGGCTCTCAGGCAGAGCCTGCTGGTTCGTGTGCAATAGAAGCTCTGGTCCTCCAAATGGTCTATACTCCCATGCCTCAGCTAGTATGATCAAAGGAATGATGGGAGTTTCAACCCAGCAACATCTTTAGTAGGCACCGCACTAGGTGATCCTTGGCCACAGATTCAACTAAAGACCCTTCTTTATGTGAACCATATGCTTTACAACTGAACTCTTGGTCCTCCTCAGCCTTCTGCAACTGTCAAATAAAAAGTATGAGAGAAAGCATTTCTGTTTCACCTTGAAAGGTACACCCATGTCATAATCCAATGCAATGATGACATCCACACTTCTTTCTGGCTTCAGAAGTGGTGGGCCACTGTTGTTAATAAAATAGCCAATGTCTATTAAGCAAAGAGTTTTCTCCACAGGTGTCAATTTGCTAGGAGACATATCTAACACAGTATCTGAAAAACAATTTTTAATCTTATTAGAGGGTCATTCTAAGAGGAAGGTGTGCCAAAATGACTAGAGGTCATTGTTTTTACAGGTAATTAAGGTCTGTCACCAGTATGACAGACCTTACATTTTACAGGTAATTAAGGTCTGTGACCAGTATTTGCTCTGCCTCATATGGCTATTTTTCACAATAGTCTGGTTAATTCCCTTTGTGCAAAACCCAGCAAGCTGAGTATAAGCTAGACAAGAGCATCTCCCATTACCTAAGTTTAAAACATAAACTATCTCACAAAGGGAGTGGGTTCAGAGCTTGCAGTCACATACCCATTAATTAGCAGAGCCTGATCCACCAACTATTGCAAATGTGTGACTGTGGTAGCTGAAGAACACTTCTGCAAAGCTGGGAAGACTAGACTGTACCTGACCAAAACATGAGGTGGGTCAGTCACAAAGTCTATTGTTGTGGCTATCTGCATAGTTATGAGGTGGGTCAGTCACCTAGAGTGGTCTTAACCGACCAGATAGGTGGGATATAAAATAAATAAATAAATAAATAAAAGTCTATTGTTGTGGCTATCTGCATAGTTGCAGAAAACACCTTCCTACCTTGATTCCAAATATGGGGAAGTCCAGTAATGGAAATCCCCTACTAGAAATAAGGTCATCATTTGCTACAAAACCCTTAAACATTGCCTTCCGAGAGTTCCTTTTTTATTTTATTTTATTTAAAATATTTATATGTCTCCTTCTCCCCTTCACATTTCTTTCTGCAAGATCTCTTTGGAGAGGAATCACACAGAACATCTGGTAAATGAGGATGGTCTCAGACAGCATGTTAAAATGAGGTATCCAGATTTATTCCATCATATGTGCCTGTGTACTCAACTTCTCAAAAATTGTGGGGGTTTTGTCTACTATCTCTTGAAATAGAAAAAGAAAGAGCAGTTCTGGAACTCAAAGAGTGAGACAAGCCTCAAGATGGTACAAGATAATTTGTTCCAAGAGACTGAAATGTTGCAAATTATTCAGAAGCAAACGCTGAAATCCACTGATTCAATAGACCTACTCTAGTTGTAACTTACTACACTAATCAAAGGATTTCAGCCAGCAAATCATGATGCCCTTTTTCTGTGCTGAAAGATTTTTGTTTCAATCTTTGCTCCACAAGGGATTATTATGACACCTCTTATGGAATCAGGAATATGCAATACCAGTAGACATGGGATATTCGTATCCCTGGCTATATGAATATGAATATCAGTATCACTTTTCAGGTACCTGAAATTCCAGTCCTTTCCCCCACCAGAACCAGCAGGCCCAATTACTGGTGACTGCCTGGCACACGCCACTGGAGTCATTCCCATTGCGCCAATTGTGGAGGTAGCCCAGAAAGTGCTTCTCCACCTCCCTGAGCAGCTGACCACTCTGGCAAGAAGGTGGGATGACAAGTCTCCCCACTCAGTTGTTGAATGGTCAGCTGCGCAGGTAGATGGGGAAGCATCGGTCATGTGTGCATGGAACGACCAGTAATTGGACCAGCTGGTTTGGGGGGGGGGAAAGGGACTGGATTTTCCAGGAACCTGTAGTACTGATATTCATATTTGTATCCCCAGGATATAAATACGAATATCCCATATCTAAATACCAGCTTGAAGCTCAGTTCTCTCTTTGCCTTTCTCCATTTTTTTCCCTGTTACATCTCTGTAACATTGATGCTCTGACCATATAATTTGCTTCTTTGTATTCCCTATAGGCAGTGCAATAATGACTGGAAACTTCTCATCAACTGATTCCATTTAAAGGTTGATATTTCTCAGGTAGTAGGTATTAGTTAATTACCTTTCCATTGCCTAAATTCATTATGTTGTAAATAGTCATTGTCTAAGTCAAGGCTCCTCAGAAAGTTGTGAGTTGCCCCTTTTAGAGGGCGATCAGTTAAAATATCGTTAAAGATTTCACAGAGTTTTCCAGCTGCAGAACTTGGAGGCTTGTAGACTGTGGTGTAGCCATCACTTGAATAAACCTCTGCACCTAAAAAGAAAGTAAGGAGGAATTCAATTTATGGATTGGACTGATAGATAACAAAAATGTCATGATTTCTTTTGGAATATCCTTATCTATTCTTCCTGTACTCTTCTTTTCTATTCCCCATATACTCCAAACAGAAAAGCAGCACTATCTGTTCATTTAACAGGCTCAGTCCTCATCAGGCTGTTTTCAGTTTTAAACCTCTCTTCTCTTTTCTCAGGATTTTTTACCTGGATATTTCTTTGCTCTACTACAAAAGCCCTGGGTCTCCCACAAGTATGCTGGTAACTCCCAGCACTTGAGTTTGTTATCATACATTGCATACGTTGATGTTACTAACACAGCACAGAACATCACAGTTCTCTGTGCTGCCAAATTAGGTCAGCCAAATGCCTGAGTCCTGTGCTTGTGATCCATACAGATCAAAATATGTCACAAACAGGGGTAAATGCAAGAAAGGGCTTTGTAGTAATTTGTTTGCCAAGCACATCAGTTCAGACGACACAATCAAATGAGCCGAGCCATTTGGTGCATGGGAAAGCACAAAGCCATAAATAACTGCTTTGCTAGTAGTGGCCAAGTTCCATCTGTTACAGCATTTTGCTTCGAAAAAGGAGCAGAAGGTAGACTTTGTCTAGAGGGGCGGGGTATACGTCTAAATAAAGTAAAGTAAATAAAGTAAAAGTACTCCAGAACCATCTCAAGAAGGCACATAAGAAGTCCTTACATTCCCATTCAGAAAGAGTCTTCATGGCCAGAATCCTACTGGGTATTTATGCACATACAAGAAGAACTGTTGATGTTGCCACAGCTAATTTACAGAGCGAGGACCACAAGTTGATCATGAGCCTGAAATCATGGCCAATCATGCAACTGATATGCACCTCACACCTTATCAATTCACCACAAGTAGCTGTGGTGATTGGTACCATTCTTCTTATTTACATACTTCCTTCCCACAGCATGGAGTTTATGGCATGTAACCTGAAGAGGCCATAAATAGGTAAATCAGGCTTGCAAATTTTTGCACACTTACGTGAAATCGAAGCAAGTAACTTTTCCAAGTTGTGCCCAAATGGTTGCAGTGAAGCCAGGTGCCTATTTCCAGCTCCTGCTGACTTGCCATCTATGGCCATTCCTAGAACAGGATACGGAGGCCATAATAATCCATGCTCTAGTCTTTTCGTACTTAGACTACTGTAAGTTGCTTTACATGGGAACACCGTTGAATACAGCACAGAGATCGTAGGTACAGTGGTGCCTCGCATTACGACATTAATTCGTTCCAGCGAAATCACGAAAATAAAAAAGCCATTGAAACGCATTAAAGCCTGGTTAATGTATTCCAATTGGCTAAGAACTCACTGTCCAGAGAAGATCCTCCATAGGGGTGGCCATTTTCGGGTGCCTGTGCAGCGAAAAATGGCTCCTAAACACAGCGGGGAGCCATTTTGAGCACCCAGTGGCCATTTTGAAAACCCGATGATCAGCTGTTTGATCATCGGGAAGTAAAAATCAGTTCCCAAAACAGGGAACCGATCATCGCGCAGCGAAATTCCCCCATTCAAAAAGTCGTTTTGCGATCACTTTTTGTGATCGCAAAAACCTCGTCGTAATGCGGATTTGTCGTTAAACAGAGCGCCCGTCTTGGGAGGCACCACTGTACATGCAAAAGCAACTGCAAAGAGGCTGAATGGTTCCACAATGTGAGGCCATCAGCTTTGAAAGAGTCACACTGGCTTGCTATCAGCAAGCCCAATTCAAAGTGCTTGTTTTCACATAAAGGTCTAAATTGCTTAGAATCTGGCTACCGAAAAGAGCACCATCATCATGCTATCCATGATTTTATATCTGCTGGTGAGGCCCTATCAGTTATATCACAATAAAATGAAGTCCAAACTTTGCTGATTTTGGTTGATTCTTATCAAAAATAAATGAAAACAGAATTTCTCGCCCATCTTTACAGCAAACTTATTAAAGGCCATTTGCATGAAAGGAAGATTGTACAAATGAAATTCCTAACAGTTTTTATGTCTCAACTTTGACTTTTTAGGCAGGGGACCAAAAAGGAAAGCCACCTTCTTGCCACATCAGTCACATTTTAGTCATAATTCTGCATTTAAGAACAAACTAGCAAATGGACAAATTCAATAAGAGGAATTCCACAGCATCAAATGACTTCACTTCTTTCAATTTTCAAAGAAAGGGCTTATCCTGCCATTCCTACTTCCATGTATATGGGTCTGCCAATGGATGTATCCATTTTCCATTATCTTAGCAAGGTTAAGTGAAAGCTGATGTCAAGAAGACTGGAAATCTACCATCATTTAGATCAGTGGTTCCCAGCCTTGCGTTCCCAGATGTTCATTGACTGTAACTCTCAGAAGCTTTCACCATTAGCTGGGAGTTATAGCCCAAGATCATCTGGGGACCCAAGGTTGAGAACTGCTAATTTACATCCTTTAAGTGTAGTCTGAGAAGGTAGATGGGGAAAGGCTACAACTGAGTGTCAAAACATAAATCAAGGCCTTGACATCATCTTGTAGAGACCTGTCAAAAATGCTGGAGAGATGTTGCCGGTTAGTAAAGAGTCAAGGCCAGTACAGTACAGATGGACCAATGAGCTGACTCAGTATAAGAGAGCCCCCTATGTTCCCAATAGACAACCTGGCTTGTTTTGTTTTGTTTTTAAATAAGTTTAACATTTTTAAATTTTAATACTCCACTTATCATCTATCCAAACGTACTTGTTATTGATTCCAAAGAATGACCTGTCAAACCAACCAATCTGTAGTGCAATTTCAATGTTGGAACAAACCATTTTAAATTATCATTGAAAATACCAGTAGTAGCCACTACATATATGAGATCTCCCATGTATACAATATTATTGTACCCTCAAGCAAAATACAGTGGTTAGCATTGGTATCCTTACTTTTATCTGTCATGTCCTTGACCCATCGTTCCCAAAATTCTGCTGGTGTTGAGGACCAATATAAACCATCCAGTAGATTTCGAGAAAAAATATTAGTCCAGATACCTGCAAGATGAACGACAGAGGGAAGTTACTCCATCTATTGAACTAAAAAGATAAAAAGCATGTGGCCCTTGTAAGTGATAACTTTATTAGATTGATAAAGACATAAGTTAGCTTTCAACTCTGTGCTGGCCTTCATCAGACCTAAGCATGGTACAGGTCTGTGGTACCTAGTCTGATGAAGACCTGTATGGACTCAAAAAGTAGCTTATGACTGTAGATTTTTAGTGGTTTAATAAAGGTATCACTCACCCTTGCCTTTGGGTTGCATTTGCTGAAAAATAACAACAGAATCAACGTATATAAATTAATATTTTAATTTAACATCAAGTTACTGTGAATCGTAGAAGACAAATTGAATGAGATTGTGTCAGTGAAGTACAGAGAACACAATCAGATTTTTGCTTTATCTCAAGGGTGAGGAAACATTTTCCTGCGGGCCTCATTTCTTCTGGAAAAAGTCCTTTCAGAATTAAATGCTAGTGGCTTGATCAATCCATTGACCTTATCACTCTTATATTCCCACCCATGTATACACACACACATTCACACAATCACTCATCTCTTCACAATTCTCTCATTCACTCCTTATTCACTGCCTTTCTTTCTTAAGTTAATTGCCTCCCCAGCTTGGTTCTGCAAGTAGGCTTTTAACAAAAGGTCTTTCCGAAAACAAAGATGGGGACTTTGTATCTTTTCACATGGTCTTTGAACAACGTAGAATCCACGTGAAAGTCAGCTGTCTCAAAAAGATCTTTAAAAAAGCAAAGGCAAAGTGTGCTTCAGGCACTCTCTGGGCGGTTTACAAGTTAATTATGCAGGCTACACATTGCCCCCCCTCCCAGTGAGGTGGGTACTCATTTTACCGACCTCGGAAGGATAGAAGGCTGAGTCAACCTTGAGCCGCTACCTGGGATTGAACTCTAGGTCGTGAGCAGAGTTTTGGCTGCAGTAAAGTGGTTTAACCACTGCACCACGAGGCCCTTCTAGTGTGTGATCCCATCCATATTCTTCATTTTTGAAAGCAAGTGCCATAAAACAAAGTCCCACAAGGAAGCCAGCACATGTTGACCTCAATTAATCACAGAAGGCACTAGCACAGTTGTATGAATGAATGTGGAGTGTATTCTAAAGTTTAGACACTAGCAGTGGGAAAATGGGCCAACAGGCATTTCCTTTCAGGGAATGGGACACCGGTGTACCTTCTTTGAAGGTTTGTTTTGGTCTAAAGAGAAGGGATGGGTTAGCCCATCACCACCACACAAAGCCTGGGTACTGTACACTGAAGAAGGTTGTCATGCTTATCCCCTTTAGCTTCTCCCAGTTTGGTTTCGTAACACAACACAGAAAGGGTAAAGGACACAAGCCAATGTCTTATTCTTAGTCTACAGAAAGGTGCTATCAAGGAATGGTCCTTATTCAAGCATGTCCAAACTAATCAATGGGAGGGAAAAATCAAGAATCAAAAATGCCTGCTGCATGACCCTCATGTCAAAAGAGACCATAGCTGTGGCATTCTTGTCTATCTTACAATGCCTCGTAAATGCGGAAGGGTGGACCTTATCAGATTTCTTCCAGAGGAGCATCTGTAGAAAAGGCTATTGCTGTGGCAGCTGCTCCAGTGGAATGAGCTGTGACACGTGAAGGAAGAAGGAAAGGGTGAAGTGGACATGAATGAAATTGTGCCTAAGGAACCACTGATAGGTAAGAGATTGTCAAGGCCAACAAAGTGTGCTTTCCCCAACATGGCGGGTAAAAGACGCTATCGACCCGGTCTTTGTCTTCTTTTTTGTTTGTTATTTTCGCTCTCCATTTTTTGTTCTGTCTCTATTAGTCTTTTAATTCCCGTTTTACTAATTTTGCTTCTATGTAATCTGGATGTTCTGTTCCTGCTCCCTGATGGATTTATTACTAGCAGCATGCAGCAAACTCCCTCTATCAAACTCCCTCTATCTCCCTCTGGTTTTCCTTATTGTCGCTAAGGAAAACCAAAAGGGAACCAGACCCCGGCAATACAGCGAGTGACTAGAGGGGCTGTCAGTGAGAGGAAACGTAAGGAGGTGAGAGAAAACCTCGGGCTAGGTGCTCTCCTTAGATATCACGGGAGGCTTGGAGTTGTTTTTCCTCCCCTTGTTCGACACCATGGAAGCCACAAGCACTCATAAATCTGTTAAAACTGCATGATACATCTCTAGCAGAGCAAGCAGACTTCGGGACCCAGCTGATCATACTCATCAGTTGGTAAGCATGCCTGGCGGCTTGCTGGTAACGTTGGTTAGTCCCTTTATTCAGACTCCTAGCTATAGAACTGGGACCTCTTATGGCCACTCAGCCAATTTTCACAACAAATGGCACTGGCTCAGAGGACAACGACGGGTTCACTGCCATCTTATTATCCTGATTGCCCATCATAATCTGGGCATTTTTACAATTTATGGGATTTATAGGACTGGATGGGATGCCACTGTTCTTTACAGGGATCGACTATTCATTACTCATTATTGAGATGACGAATGTGAAAATGATTGTCGCTGCACCAAACTGGAGTGCTGTATGAAGGGGGGAGAGTGATGTCTATTATAAGATGGTGAACTGAGGCTTGATATTCTTTGACACCCTGCCCCCTGGACAGGGGGTCCTCCATTTCAGATCATCCAGAGTCAGTGGCAATTCATCACTGCAGAAAGGCATGGATAGACTGATAATAGTCTGTGAAATTGACCATCAGCTAATATTTCCCCACATGAAAGAACTATAAATGAATGAAAACAATTACAGTGGTGCCTTGCTTAGCGATTGCTTCGTTTAATGATGAAATCGCTTAGCGATGACTTTTTCGGAGCGATCTTACGTTCTGTTTAACGATGGTTCCTATGGGCAATTTTAGCATAGTGATGTTTGGGACCATGCTTCGCATAGCGATGACAGTTTGGGTCCCCCTGTTTCGCTTAACGATGGTTTTGACAGCCTCATGTTGGCTGTTTTTTAAATGTTTAAAAATGTTTAAAAATGTTTAGAATGCTTGAAATCATAAGTGCACTTACTAAACCCTTTCTTAAACTAATTTGACTTTGTTCCGACTCTTTTTAAATTTGTTGTAATTTTTTCCCCCATTGAGATGCATTGAATAGGTTTCAGTGCATTTCAATTGGGGAACCGTGTTTTGCTTAGTGATGTTTCCTATGGCGATTTTCGCTTAAGGATGGCAATCTGTTCCCATTGGAACAGATTATCCGGTTTTCAATGCATTTCTATCGGAAACTGTGTTTCGCTTAGCGATGAAATCGCTTAACAGTGATTTTTAAGGAACCAATTATCATCGTTAAGCTAGGCACCACTGTGTTGGTCATGCAGGGCTGTGAGATGGGGCTTTTAAGAAGGCGATAGTAAGTGTAGGAAGGCGAGCGCAAGTCACGACTAGGCTGGGAAGAACTACCCATAAGATGGTTTTAACAAGCAACTAATGCGATAGACAGAGCTTTTAAAGGTTAGTCTCTCATTAATGAAATTAGACATCTACTCTAATTAATAATATTTAAACCTGATTTATCCCCCACGTCCAAGGGAGGGGGAGTTGCCATTATTTATAAAAACACCTTAGATGTTGTTAGGTTCTCTGCCTTGAGCATCCTGGGCATTGAGACCCTCCACGTGTTGTAGGGACCAGGGATGGTTTTGGGATGGTGCTGGTTTACCCAGCGCTTTCCAGAGCTGGCGGACTTCGTCTCGCCGGCAGCACTGAGGTCCCCCAGACTAATTGTCCTGGGTGACTTCAATGTTCATGCTGAAGTTGGAGCCACAGGTCCAACTCTTGCGTTATTGGAAACTATGGCTTCCTTGGACATGTCCCAGTTTGTCAACGGCCCCACCCACGTGGCGGGTCACACATTAGACCTGGTATTCTCCACATGCCAGAGAGAGAGTGGACCGATGGTGACCAATGTTATATCAGTCTTCTTGTCATGGTCAGACCACCACCTAATAAAATGTAATCTCTCAGTGGCACACACACACCCCAATGGGGAGCAAGGACCCGTTAAGATCGTCCACCTTCACAGGCTATTGGATCCTGTTGGTTTCCAAGATGCAATGTGGGGGATACTGGCTGACCTTGTTGGAGCTCCTGTGATGCTCTGCTGGATGAATGGTAAGTGGCAGCCTCCAGGGCAGCTGACAGGATCACTCATAAACACCCTCTCCACTCTCGACCCCGGCCAGCTGCCTGGTGTAACCAACAGCTGAGGGGGTTGAAGCATGATAGGAGGCTAGGGAGCATTTGGAGACAGGCCCTGACAGTAAATAACCTAAAATTGCATCAAATATCTACTTAGCCAAGGTGAAGGCTGTAAGAAAATCCTACTTTGCTCACCGGATAAGCAAAGCCCAGGACCATCAAGTGGATCTGTTCCACACTGTACGTGATTTATCCGGCATTGGTCACAGGGACAGGCCTCCCAGTAGCATCCCATGACCAATTTGCGGCCTTCTTTAAACAAAAAGTGGAGGCCATCCTCCGGGACCTAGATATCTCCTCTTTATCAGTGGATTGAGCTGAGACATCCAGCACATCACCTTGCCTGGAAATGTTAACACAATTTCAGCCTGTGACGTCAGCTGAGGTTGACAGGGTCCTTGATCACTGCAGGGCCACCACTTCCTCACTAGATCCTTGCCCAGCCTGGCTCTTGAAAGTGGGTGGAGGCTATTATTAATGGGTCTCTCCTTGAAGGCAGGGTTTCCCTCTCCCTCAAGGAGACACTCATTAGACCTATCTGGCGGCTAATGATATTAACACTTATTGTCCAGTCGCCAATGTCCCCTTTTATTGACAAGCTGGTGGACAGACTGGTGGCCAACCAGCTTCAGGCTCTCCTGGAGGAGACCTATGCCCTTGATCTGTTCAAATCCAGGTTCAGGCAGCGTCATGGCACAGAGGCGGCATTGGTTGGCCTGCAAGATGACCTCCTGAGGGAAGCTGATGGGAGCAAAACATCCTTGTTGGTCCTTCTTGATCTCTCAGTGGCCTTTGATACTGTCAACCACGGTATCCTCCTGGGGAGGGTCTCAGGATTGGGGATCGATGGTCAGGCCTTGGCCTGGCTCCAATCCTTTCTGGAGGACCTATCCCCAGAGAGTTCAGCTTGGGGAGATGTTGTCTGCTCTGTGGACTCTCAATTGTGGGGTCCCACAGGGGTCAATCATCTCCTTAATGTTATTTAATATCTATATGAGGCCATGGGGGGGGAGATAATCAGGAGTTTTGGAGCTCTGCGTCCAATATGTGGAGAGTTGAAAGTTCTGACCCCAAGAGAAGTCCAGAAAACAACCACTAGAAATTGGGCCTTCTCGGTGGTAGCTCCACAACTATGGAACTCTCTTTCACCCGAAGTCTGCCTGGCCCCTTCACTGGGTATATTTAGGAAGCTGTTAAAAACCTGGCTATTTCAGCAGGCCTTCTCTGAATAAACAGCTATATGATACAACAGTGTTTGCTAAAATAACATCCATCACATTGTCATGCTTCTTGTCTTTGATATTTTATGCTTTTAATTGTAATTTATTGTATTGTACTTGTTTTACTGCACTTTATGATATTTGATTCATGCCCCAATTGTAATATTATTATTTTGTATATGTATTATTTTGTTACTCTGTTGTTTTATCTGCTGTAAACTGCCCAGAGTGGCCCTGATTGCCAGATGGGCGGTATATAAATCGAATAAATAATGATAATAATAATAAATAAATAGGGACATTAGGGAAGCTGTCTGCTTGTACATGAAAAACCTGGCTTCCTGAGTAATCTTCAAGATTGTCTCTGTGAAGGGTGTGACACTGTTCTGACTGGTTTTTGTTAATGCACCCAAATGGACAGGCTTTCTAAATGGAGACAAATGGCTCTTTTTTTATGTTGAGGATCAATGTATGAGCTGACAAGGCCTCTAAAGAAGAACTACAAAAGTAGCCTATGTGTTTCTCCATCTTAGACTGATATCCACTGCTGTGTTTTCCACTTTAGCTCACCTTCCAGATAACAAACCCGAGATTCTGGAATCTTCTTCACCACCTTTCCCATGAAAAATTCACTATCAAAATTTTCTGTACGAATGTATGCTCCATATTTTGGGAACCCAACTTCATAAGGATTGAAATCCACCCATTCTGCAAATAAAAAGATTATTAGAAGATTGGATGACCCTCAACTCAATAGCTACATTGCTGGCATAAAAATGAACCAGATAATGATTAAGCTAACATCCCCAACAGACACTTCGTTGGAAGGATGAATATTGCTAGACAAGAAACCAGTATATCCCATTTTTATCATGAAATCGTGGTAAGAACTTGCAAAAATCTGCTTGTAAAGCAATAGAAAGAAATAGTAGGCAATAGTCCACATTAGAAAAGAGCTTGCATCACTCAGTATTTATAGAATAAAAGCATAGTAAATCCCAGCAAAGTAACAGTGAAAGAGAGCAACCAAAGTACAATGAGGACTTTTCTACATATACAGTATTTACTAATGAGTGGTCGTATAGACCAGATGGGCGGGATATAAATCAAATAAAAAAATAAAAAAATAAAATAAATGAGATTTTTTTTGTGGTAGGAGGAGAAGTATTGTAAATTTCATGGCATGTCCGGGCATTTGCATCACCTACATAAAGGCACTGTGAACTGCTTTTCTTAACCTTCTACTCTCCCACAGACATAGAACTGATTTTCGTCCTGTTATAAAAATTTTCTATATGAAAAAAGTAGGTTCGTGGCCCTTGTGAACCTCTTCCATGGACCAACACAGGTTAATAACCATGAACCATGTACTGTAATTTCTTCTTATCTTTTCTTTAGATTATACATCATAATTTGAAGTCTTGAAATATAAGCTTTCACTGCAAATTTGTCTTCTCAAGGAAAGAAATTTTAAATGAGGGCTAACACAGAGAAGGAGAAAAGGGGGAAAGTTAGCATTATGTTGGATGCTTCAGTCTGAAAGATTCCTTTATAGTAGACAAGTTGATATCTGCGCACCTACCTCTGAAGTTAAAGGTGCTGATATGTCTGTCTTTCACATTGATGGCTGTATAGATAGGAAAAGGGTTCTGGCCCCTATTCAAAGCTGGGCGTTGTTCTGAGAGTTTGCAGTCATTTGGCTAAAATCAAAGTGAAAGTGGAAAACACAAGACCATTAAAGCTATTTATTAGTAACACATTTTTTGAATTCAAAAAAAAAAAGTAACACATTTTTTGAAAAACAGAGTTCAACTTAGACATTATTTTCACAAGTGGAGTTTTTGCAGGCATTTCTGTTTAGTATACACCCCACACCCTCACACACAGCCAGTATTAAAGAGTGATTATGATTATTGTACTGAATTTGTTCCATCTGCACAGTGCTACAGCAGTTGGCTATATTATCTGCATATATAAAAGAGTGGGTCAAGAGCATCTTAGTCTGCTACTACCCCAGTGCAGTCACCCCTGTCATGTCTTACACAAACAAAAGTAAAATTTGCCCTTCCAATGGCATGCACCTCAGAGGGGGCATGATTTGCCATTTGTATGGAATTTCACTTCTCAGGACTCCTTAGCTTTTTGAAAAAGCCTTTTAATGAAACTAAATGTGATCCGCTGGTCACCCCTGTTGCTGGGGTGGGGAGACTTTTTTCTGGGTTTTGAAACAGGCTTGGGGGGCATTGTGTGAAATGGTAAATGGGGGCAGAAGCTTCTAAGTTGTGTTGTTTGCCATTTCTGGGAATCAAAAGATTTTGGGGTATTAGGGAGCAAGTAGATCAGATGTAGATAGTCTGTCAAGGTCCAAAGAAGATGACCAAAAAGTCCCGAATTATCACAATCTGTCCACTACAAAGGGCTAGATTTTTTTTATACTCTAGGAAATAATACTAACCCCGACCCCTCATGCTATAGCATTAACTGTTACACCATCAACCACCAAAACAGAAGGAGGGGGGGAGGGAAAAAGCCAGCAAGCTGCAAAGTGACAGGAGAAGTCACTTCACCCTGAATTAGGTTACATGTAAAAATGAAATAAACCATCAAATTGTTTAGCAGCAACATTTTGTGATTGCACTGCACAATCTCTTATTTCTCCATTTACTTCACACTTCAACTAATGATGGGCTTGCCTAGATGGCCAAACTGAAGCAGGAAGGATTGAACTGAATAGGATCACTCAAGACTGGGCAGGAGTGTATGGTGCGATTCTTGCATTTACATCCAAGGATCAGGTGGTTTCAGGTCAGGAAACGATACTGCACCTCAAGCAACCCTGTTTAGCATAATCAAGATCTTCCTTCACTTTAAAAGAAAAGGTTCTTTTCAAAAGGTTTCCTTTTAACGTGAAGGATTGCTTAAGATCATTAATACTTTCTTTTGGGGGAATCCATTTAATTGAAAACTTCCTCATAGCTCTCCTTTAGGGGGCAGGGGAGCAGTGACAGTCAGCATTTCTTTTTAATTGTTGCTAAGAGATTGACACTGGATTATGGAGAATGCCAGAGAGTTCCAGAAAAAAATCTCCTTCTGCTTCATTTACTATACAAAAGCCTTCGACTGTGTGGACCACAACAAACTATGGCAAGTTCTTAAAGAAATGGCAGTGCCTGACCATCTTATATATCTCCTGAGAAATGTATATGTGGGACAAGAAGCAACAGTTAGAACTGGCTATGGAACAACTGATTGCTTCAAAATTGGGAAAGGAGTACGACAAGGCTATATATTGTCCCCTGGCTTATTTAACTTATATGCAGAATACATCATGAGAAAGGCAGGACTGGAGGAATCCCAAACCAGAATTAAGATTGCCAGAAGAAATATCAACAACCTCGGATATGCAGATGATACCAGTCTGATGGCAGAAAGTGAGAAGGAATTAAAGAACCTCGTAATGAGGGTGAAAGAGGAGAGTGCAAAAAATGGTCTGAAGCTCAACATCAAAAAAACTAAGATCATGGCCACTGATCTCATCATCTCCCGACAAATAGAAGGGGAAGATATGGAAGCAGTGAGAGATTTTTCTTTCCTGGACTCCATGATCTGCAGATGGTGACAGCAGCCACAAAATTAAAAGACGCCTACTTCTTTGGAGGAAAGCGATGACAAACCTAGACAGCATCTTAAAAAGCAGAGACATCACCTTGCCAACAAAGGTCCGCATAGTCAAAGCTATGGTTTTTCTAGTAGCGATGTATGGAAGTGGACCAATAAGCAGGCTAAATGCCTATATAATCACCCATTCAGCTTGAAGGGTTTGAATTACCTGCGCAGAGATAAGTGCACTGTGATTACGCTGGACCATATAACATTAATGGCATTTGTAACCTCAAAGGATTGCCAGACGGTAGAAGACTGCTTTGTCAGACACACTGTATAAGTTGTGGGCAGGCAACTGACAATGATTTGGAAGACAGCTGTCCCTTAGGACCTCACAAGATTTCCCTATACGACATGGCCCTGAACCCTTCAGACACATCAGTTGCCCTCAAGTCATGCCTTCTAGGGGACACACACAGCTGGCCCCTTTGCTACATTTGCATCCCCATAGCCTCTTAGGCTCAATGAAACCATTTTTTTCCAAGACCAGAAGTGGCAGATTTTGAAGGGGAAAAAAACTTACACATGAGCATACAAAATGGGCAACTACATCCTTTAGAAAGCATGACTGGCCTTGAATAAATCAAAACTATTATGACAGTGACAGGAGGCATGGAGTGGTCAGAGAGAGTTGGGAGGTACCAGGATCCTCACCTTGCCTATCTCTGCTGTAATCCAAACCCTGCAAATGGCTTGCATCCTTTCCTCTGACTGGAATCATAGAATCTCAGAATAATGGAGGTGGAAGGGACCTATAAGGCCATTGACTCCAACCCCCTGCTCAATGCAGGAATCCAAATCAAAGCAGATCTGACAGACGGTTGTCCAATTTTCTCTTCAATGCCTCCAGTGTTGGAGTGCTCATCACCTTCCGAGGTAATTGGTTCCATTGTCATACTGCTCTAACAGTTAAGATGTTTTTTTCCTGATATTCAGCCTAAGTCAGCCTAAATACTGCACACATAAAGAGGAATCCCTGAACAGAAGAATGATGACCCCAATAGGAGAGTGATTTATCCTGTGAAGGCTTCAGCCCTTGATTGGGAGGGAGGGGGAATTGCCTCATAAATCAAATGCATACTTTATCATGTAGGACAGCTTCCTGAACAAGGGCCCAGAGAGCAGTAAAAGATGGAAGATGTCCCATTTCAACTCTCTCAACCAACTCCTTGTGATAATATTTCAGTTTTTCAATAGAAACTATAGCCTCTTTGGTCTTCATTATCTGACTTTTAATTTGCTTGATGGGTTCTTCCAAACTTGTTTGTGACCAGTCAGCATTCTTGTACAAGTCGGTCAAAGTCCTAAAGTAGGGGAAAAAAGATCAGCTTTGAACAAAACATGGATTTGTCTGTTAATACTGTTCACATAAAGGAGTTCATGCAATGCACATTGGAGGTTTCATGCTACAGATCCGTTTACATTTTGATTTTTTTTAAAGGACTTGAGATATCATTCTCACATTTTTCAGCATAACTGGGTCCTTTTGAGGAAAAAGGCAGGGTAATTTTTTTTTGAATGAATGAATGAATGAATGAATGAATGAATGAATGAATGAATGAATGAATGAATGAATGAATGTTGAGATAGTGGTCTTTTCTGAGAGGGTCACGCCTGCAAAATTTTCAAATAATAAACTCAGCAAATTTTGTACAAGAGGGGCATTTGCAATTTGGAGGAATTAGGCTCTTTAACCCTTAACGCCACAGGTTTTGTGATATACAACACAGCAGTAGTTCTGAAACCTGAACAGCTTTTTGAATCCAAAATGCTTTCAATATTCTTGCACTTGAGAAGAAGAACAAACACTACCTCAGTCCTGTGATATATTAAATCAGATATATTCTAACTCAGTCCTGTGATTCCACAGAAGCATTGCAATCAGAGAGCCCTAGTAAAAAAAATCATTCAGTGTGAATAGAAACCAGTGCATCAATTTAGAAATCTCCTTCTCCTTTCCTTTCTCCCTTATCAATATTTGCCTTACAGGGAGAGCAAACCTCCAGTTTTTCTAGACACAGTTTCAATCTCTGTGTCTGTGAGCTGTATCCACTGATGTCACTCTGCCAGCACAAAGCACATTGCACTAGAAGTTGCACATTTGGAGTTAAAGGCCACCAACGCAGGCATTTGTCCCACTGTTTTGGTGCACTGGTGGGTTGGGTTGGTCTGCTCTTTTTTCTAGCATCCACACATGGATGTGGCTGGAATGGACCAATTTGTCCCAGTCTGCATCTTTTTAAACTCCTGTCAGGGGGTTCTACTCTTTTAGTACAGGTTGGAGTGCTGCAGTTTAGTCCTTTATCAGCAAGTGTGGTAACTTGGAAGGGGCTAAACCAGAGCCTTACAGCTCCTTCCGGTGTCGATTTCTGGTATTCCAAAGTGGCTTACAAGCCGCTTCAGGATGCTGGAAACTGAATGTTTCCTCTGATCATTTGTGGAGGGTCAGGGGAGGTGAAATAATTAACAACAACAACAACAACAACACCTATTTACACCTATTAAATAATCACTGATGTGATGAATCACTTTTTTTAAAACAGTATTTTCCTGTCTGTGCATGGCTGATCAAAACTGCAGCTATAGGCAGTCTCTTGATCAACAATAGACAAACAGCCCCCCCAAATATTTTTAATTGAAATGATTCATTGTATCAGCAATGATCTAGCAGATATTTGAAAAAAGAATTTCGCTTCCCCTGACCCTACACAGACAACCAGGGGAATTGAAGTGGCCGCTGTGGCGCACCCAAGGCAAGGCGGGGTGTTAGCCTCATTTCGCTGCCACCACCGCCCTCTGCTGCGCCTGCACACTGGCCTTCCCGCACCACCACTGCCACTCTTTCACACTCTGGGCCCACCACGGCCACCCTGAATGATCCATCCCAGCATCAGTTGTGCGTCGCCGCCGCCAGGCTGGGCTTGATCCGTGCCTCCCACCCCCGCCAGCATGGCATTCACATTCACCACCTTCTGCTACATGCTGGCGCTGCTCCTCACTGCCACTTTCATCTTCTTCGCCATTTGGCATATTATAGCATTTGATGAGCTGAAGACTGAATACAAGAATCCCATAGAGCAGTATAATACGCTTAACCCTCTTGTACTTCCGGAGTAACTCATCCATGCATTCTTCTGTGTGCAACGGAATGGCTTACACTGGGACTCAATATGGCTTTGTTGGCTTACCACATTTGGAGGTATATGAGTAGACCTGTGAGGAGTGGACCTGGTCTCTATGATCCAACAACCATCATGAATGCAGATATTTTAGCATATTGCCAGAAAGAAGGATGGTTCAAACTAGCATTTTACCTTCTATCCTTTTTTTAACTATCTATATGGCATGATTTATATTTTGATGAGCTCTTAAAAGATGACACCTAGCAGACTTGGTTCCAGCAAAGTGCATGCAGAAAAGCCACACTACAATGGATTATTTTTGGAAGAATCTGGTATCAAGACTCAAATCTGTGGACTCTGATAATGACAAATTGCAATAGACGGGTGGAAATGCCTTCTTTTCTCATTCCCCCATCCCACCCCCAGATGTATCCATTCTTTAATATCCATAGAAAGACTTAAAAATATACTGGGAAGTTTAAAGTGATGAGTATTACATATAATTAATGTAAAGCAATTACGTATCTCTGGCTTTGGACAGTTTTGACCCCGCACTCCATAAGGAACAGCCATACCCTCAAGTATAATTGTATTAATTGCTGTCCTTATTATGATAGAGGATTTTTGTTTACTGAATTTTATAGTGGCTCAGTTGGGTAGGTAACCTGTGTGTGTCTTATAGATGAATATATGAGAATCAGGGGAATTGCTTAATTGACAGGGGATAGAGCTAGTTGGCAATTCCCTCCCCAACTGAAACAAGCACTCTTTATTTACCAACAATTTCCTCCTTCCACATGACGTTTGCAACAATGACAGATTGTTGATAATTGCAAGTGCATTTTCATAGGAGATATTGGAATTGCTGTCATGACGATAATGCTTGATGAAAAGGTTTAAAAAATTCTTTGAATAAATTGGTATTCTACAATTGTGCAAAAGGACAGGTGTGGTGAAGTGAAAAGAGTGACAGACTAGGACTCAGGAGACCTGGGTCTAAGTTCCTGCTTGACCCTTGGAAATTCACTGGGGGAGTGGAAGCAGTAAAACTATTCCTTAAATATATCAGTTACCTTGAAAGCTCTATTTGGGTTGCTGTGATTTGGTTTCAACTTGATAACACATGACACATAGACCTACAGGCCACTCCTCTCGTTTTTGGCTGAAAGATGGGGGCAAAAACTTTGTAATGACTGAAGGAAGATTTAAACTCTGTCTAATAGACTGCACCACAAAACACCAGTGATTGCAGTCCCATTGTCCACAGAACACTAGTCATGAAAAATCAGACAGACATATGTGTGTTGTTCTACTGACTTCACTTGACCTTCAACTTGCATAATTTTTACTGCATTATGCCCAATACAGCTTGAATTTTAATCAAATACAGCACACTTTTCTGCATCCTTACCATGTTGATCCAGAAGCAGTGGTAATATATGAAATACAGTCCAAAAGGTTCAGTTTCTGGAGTGCTAAGAGATGACCATAAAGTGCAGTCATAGCTCTGATTCCACCCCCTGTTGCCATAACAGCTACCACCGGAACCTGTTAAAAATATGAGGAACAACATCACCAAAATGGTAACCAATGATTTTAGCAACTCACCTAATCTTGGATATATATTTTTTAAAAAATTAGCTCACACTAATCACTCAATAGGTGCCTACATTCAGTCTATCCTATTCTTATCTATGCTTTGGTTCACAAAACTAGCCTTGATTTAGGCTAATTCAAAATTAATATAGAAGCCTCCAAAATTTGGAAAGGAATTGACAACAAAAGTATTAAAAATCACTCTGTAAATATGGAAGACAGGATTTGGAGGAAGGGGGTTCCCCAGACGCTGCTGTTCTTTCTATTCAAAATGCATAGAAATGGAAATAAACACATTCCTTCTTTGCCACAAAGCAATCAGAAATATTAGGAAGCATGAGAATTTTTCATAGTGATGTGCATCCCCTAAAATAAAGTTCTCTCTTGATGAAATACTCACATTCAGTTCATAGGGGATTTGATGGCAAGTTTAGAATAAACACCCAGCACTGGGCTCGCAGTAAGCTCTCTGATCAAACCATGAGATGCTAGTTGCTGTTAGTCTTACACTAAGGGTGGGCAACACTATGGCCTTTGGGCTGAATGCAGCTCTCTGTATTTGTACAACAAAGTAGGACAACTCCTACTTTGAAAGTAAGAGGAAGATATCTAACATACTGAAAGACTCCTCTCATCCGGGACATCAGCTCTTTAAACTATTACCATCGAGAAGGAGATTCAGGGTATTGAAAGCAAGGACAAGTAGATTCAAGAACAGCTTCTACCCAAGTGCAGTATTGAGTTTAAATGTGGGGTCATAAGTTTTGGTGGAATTTTAATTGCTGGGAGAAACAGGGTATATTTGTATGGTGAGTGTTGTGTATATTTTAATTTTTTTTGTAGTGGTGTTGTCCAGTTTTACCTTGGGGAAGAGCACCTCATTTCGTTGCACCCACTTGTGAGTGCAATGACAAATAAATTTTTTATGTCTTATCTTATGTCTTATATACATTCCTCCAGCTGCCGTATTTACAAATAACACTAACGGTGTCCCTGAAGTTGTCTACCTCACTCTAGAAGTTACTGTGCTTGAAGGTAAAAGCCAAAATTATGGTAGTTTTTAAAGTGCGACCTCAGTGCCATGCAGAGATGAACAAAGAATGTGTTCCCATTACCATGGGTTTAGGCAACAGGACAATGGCCCAAATGTTTTGGATGCTCTACAGGTTATCATCACAGGACTCTGACACACACCTCATGCTCAAGTAAATCCTCTCCCAAATGAAAAAGCTTCTTCAAGGCATCAGCAACCACCTTCTTCCTTTTATGTAGAAAATCCTGCTCATCAGCACAAAGATCAAATCCCAAACGGACATCAAGGTTCTGTGACCTCAAATATAAAGAGTAGTCATAGCTTAAGCATAGAATCAGGAGAGATGGTTTTCATAACAGCTGCAATTACACAGGTTTCATTTAACAATTAAGACCTTTTAGTCAAACACACAACCATAAAAAAACTTGACTTTCATTCAAGGGATATTGCGCTATAGTACACAGAGTGAGCCTTCACAAAGAGTATAAACCATTGTGAATACAGTACACTCAGGCATCTTGTGGGCAATCATGTGCAGCCTGCCAATCCTTCACTTCCAGAAGCACTCACTGTAAAGTTGCTTAAATTGTGCAATGTTCTGACACAATAAAGTCCTACAATTAACATGAACTGCTTTGCCTTACTCCAGTGCCATGATAATCTTTTATCATAAATAACACACACACAACATTTGAATGATAATTGCAAATATTTGCCACCTCTTGTTTGCAAGACTGTAATTTTTAATAATCAGTCAGTTGGGGAAGTACATTACATATTTGGCAAAGGTTGTGAATTTTGCAAGCCAGCTGTGTTTTAGTTTGCTTATCAGTTCAAGAATTAGGTAAGTTTGTATTAAAACAGGAACTGAACACATTTATCTCTGAACTACTATGATTATTTATATGTGAGTTTATGTCCAATATTTAAAACCAAATACAAAGACCAGAAGTAGCAAGGGCCACCTTGTAAGGTGTGATCTTCCTTCTGTGAGGTGTCTCTTGTAATACAGTTTTTTCTGTGTTTTGCATGTGTCATCTAGAAATAAACTTGTTGCCTTACATGATTGCATAAGGGCAATTGTGCAAGTAATGTAGGCCATTTTCCTGGCTGTTCATCGTGGTTGCACAACTGAGCAAGTATCTAGTCATGCAATGGGCAGCCCAGAAAGCACAAAAAGCATTTCCGCAAATAGCCTCATGCATATAGAAGACATCTATTGGATGTTGGTCAAGGAGCGTACACTCCAGAATTATTTTTTCACAAATGTATGTTGATTAATTTTCGAAAACATATGATGGATGGAGAGATTTCTTTAAATGGTAGTGACACTGCTTTTGACACAGAATTACAAAAAATAACTTTAATACAAGGAGCACTGGGGGAAAATGGTTAGATGCAACTGTACTTAGAACTCCAAAGGAGCAAACCTAGCACAATGAAAAAACAGATGCTTTCTAGGCAAGTTAATCTGCACAACAAGCACAACCCCATTTGACTGACTGACAATAATTCTGTAATTTCTTCTAAAGACATTTGTTTATCATTTATGCAGGAAACAGACTCCTGTCATTTCTGAATGCCCTGGAGGGGTCGTGCAAAGAAGAGCACTTTAAATAGATGACCCAGAACAACTTACCACCCAGTTAAGTGGAGATGTAATGCCAAAACTTCTCCCTAAAACCAAACAACATAATGAAACAAGTTCATTAGACACATAAAAGGATAGGTTACGTACAAAGGTAAATCACTGGAGGGGCAAAGTGTTGTTTGCACAATTATGTCGCAAACTGCCCAGAGAGTGCTCTAGTATTGTAGTGCAACATACAAGTCAAAACAGCAAAAATAACAAATGCCAAATAAATAAAGAAATAAAAATTAAAAATTAAAAACTTTAATGTATTTTATTCTTTTTATTTTAAATTAGATAAGTAAGTTAATAGACAGATAATTAGTGGTTTTCAGATATAGTTATAAGGTTAATAATAATATTAAATCATGTCACAATAATATAGACATATTAATATAAAAAATAATATTATCAATATTCCATTTCAAACACTGGGCAACAGCACCAGTGCTTCCTAACTCCTTGCATTGCTTTGCGCTGGCAAGTTACTATTTATTTTACCATACTTTAACATAGTTAGCTAGGAATTAAGCATTGCTTGCTGCTCTTTCTGTTTTAAGTTGCAATTCTGTCTCTTAGGAGCCTTAAGTGCATGAGGAAGTCTTCAGAAATATGACTTCCTTCCATGTTCATTAGAGACTATTTGTTATTTCCTGTTATGTCTCTTGATGGATAGGGATTGTTTAAGCCTCAAAGAATCACAATAGCCTCTAATAAACATGGAAATAAGTCATATTCTTGAAGGCAATATTCCAATTAAAGACCTTCTTATGCAATTAAGACAATTAAGGCCGAGAACTGCTATTTTACAGAAAAGGAAAACTGAGAAACAATGCTTGCCTACCAAATGAGTTTAAAGAAGTTAGAAATGAACATTAAATAGTCACAGTGAATCCAGAAAAGCAGCATGGAATCTACTAGGAGGAACTAAAGGAGACATGTATAATAAAACTCCCCTCGGAGCATGGTTACATTTAGGGTAGAAAACCATACTTGAATCAGGTTTAACATATTTTAAATCATTTTTAAAAGGTGACTACATGACACACACATGGAAGCTTGGATTTTTTTTTCCCCTGAGAAGAGTGTTTGGGGATGTAATTTTAAAATATACAGTGATATAACTGTGTCAAGCTTTACTGGTGTAAAAATGAAAGAGTAATTGGAAGCAGCAGCACTTGCCTCGTCTCCTCTTAGCCATACTTGGACTTTCTGTCCCACTGGAACTAATCTCAAAGGCACTACTAAAGTGTAGTCAGAATCATTCTGTTCAGCTAAAACACTCTGGGGAAGAAAGAAGAACATAAGACTTTTGTCACAGAATACAGAAGATACACAGAAAGATAACAAATCACTGGAAACAATGTATCAGTTTCACTTTATTTTGAACCTGCCTGTCAAACAAGAAGAGGGTCATCAAATGAATGAAGAGAGCATCATCCATAAAGGCTGCAGAGGCAACGGTAAAGTTGGTTTTCACTGCAATCCTAAACCAGATGAGCATCTTCATCTCAAAAACCATGTTTGATCTGTCCTCTGGACTCCCCCCTGTTCAGGTCTACGACTCTTCCCTGACACTTTGTTAAAAGCTCTTGGCAAACTGTCAACTATCAGTCAAATTGATAGAAATTTAACAGTTGCTGAATGACAACAAAGGCATTTTTTGTTTGGTTTAACTGTCCTTTTAGCACTTTACACAGTATAACGTCTGAGCTGATAAATCAAACATAGCATTTTATCACACTCTGGTAACTATTGCTGTCAGAGGGACAGGTTTGCTGGTTAAATTCTTTTTTTTTCTTTTATATTTTTAATTTAAAAAATATTTTTGACAATCCTCTTACTTTACTTATCTGCCACGTATATCATGGCAACCATGATATGACAAAGCAAATTAAAATATAATACAATACAAACACCTTAAATACAATATTTTACTACCTTATAATCATTTATACACCCATTCATTTCATATCCTAACATTCTAAAATTCATTTTTCGAAAATATTACAAACCAACAAACCAAATTATTTTCCATAGTGTATTCCTCCTTACTTAACTTAGTGCCATGTGTTAATGAAGGTTGCCAGGTTTTCATAAATTTATCATATTTTATTTCCCCTCTATATAATCTGACCTGATTGGTCAATTTTTCCATCAAAACCATTTGCCAAATTCTCTTCATAATTTTTTTGTAATGAGAGGTCTTGGGCATTTCTTCAACTTTGCGCAATTTTACATCTTGCTGCTTGAATTGTTTCACAGAATCATAGAATCATGAAGTTGGAGGGGGCCTATAAGGCCATCAGGCCCAACCCCTTGCTCAATGCAGGAATACAAACCAAATGATATCTGCCAGGTGGTTGTCTGAATTTCTCTTGAATGCCTCCAGTATTGGCACAATCACCACCTCTCAAGGTAGTTGATTCCATTACTGTACTACTCTAACAGTTAGGGAGTTTTTCCTGATATATGATGGTTAAACAGGTAGCAAAGTGCAAGTGGAAATGTACACAAGGTTTTAATACAACCAATCAAAAAGTCTTAGGCCTTGTAATATTGCACCCTGTAAATAGGAATCAAAACTAGTTCAGTGGGACAATCACCTGTCACTCAATGCTTGAATGACAGAATTAATTGTCATTTCAAGGACACCATGATGTGTCATATTTAATTTTTGTGATGTCCTCATCCTACAGAATCATAGAATCATGAAGTTGGAGGGGGCCTATAAGGCCATCAGGCCCAACCCCTTGCTCAGTGCAGGAATACAAACCAAATGATATCTGCCAGGTAGTTGTCTGAATTTCTCTTGAATGCCTCCAGTATTGGCACAATCACCACCTCTCAAGGTAGTTGATTCCATTACTGTACTACTCTAACAGTTAGGGAGTTTTTCCAGATACTGTATATGATGGTTAAACAGGTAGCAAAGTGCAAGTGGAAATGTACACAAGGTTTTAATACAACCAATCAAAAAGTCTTAGGCCTTGTAATATTGCACCCTGTAAATAGGAATCAAAACTAGTTCAGTGGGACAATCAGTTCAGTGGAACGGATTGGGGGAGAGATTACAGAGGCTGTGATATAAACACCTGAGATACAAACTCAAGTGATTGGGGTATCTGTGGGACATAACAATTGAGTTAATACTATCCAAGGACAATTGGGAAGCTATTAAGTAATCTTTGACTTTAAAGTGGTCAGCTAGAGTTGGGGACACACTTTATTGTGGCTGCAAAGCCTAAAGAGATAGGGGGCTGCCCATTGATCATTTTTTGCATCACTTGAATTTGACAGGAGACTGAAGGAAACAGAGGTTGTGGAAGTGAGAGGATCCAGTACAAATTTGATTTTTAAAACTTCCTTGTCCCCATGATAAATGATAGTGGTCATTACCTGAAGCTTCGCTTTTAGTACTGGTTCCCAGCTTTTTATGCAATGAAAACGGAATGAATCTAAATCTTTAGCTGTCTTCTGTGTTCCTTCATAAGACTCTTGCACCGTAAGCACAACATTTTTCTTGGCTAAAAAACAAGAACAATAATCAGGTACATATTTTGTGAGTGGAATACTTTTGAAATTCATAGATTAACTTTAGAATTCCACACTATATATACTATATATATATGAATAATATCAACAGATATAATAAAATCGTCAAGCCGTTTGTAAGTCAAGGGTCCACTGTACATATTTTGTGAGTGGAATACTTTTGTAATTCATAGATTAACTTTAGAATTCCACACTATATATACAATGAATAATATCAACAGATATAATAAAATCTATTAACTGTGTTCTTTTGTCTTCTAAATGTAATATTTTTCCCCTTTAGGCAGTGGTTCTTAACTTTTTGTCCTTCAGATATTTTGGATTTCAAGATCTAGATATCCTGATCAATGACTTTGCTGGCTGGGGCTTCTGGGGGTTGAAGAGGGCAAAGATGGAGAATCACTGCATTAATTAAATGTGGTTGGCCTGGATATTCAAAAGCAAACAAAATTCAGTGTTGACATTTGAATATGAAAAGCAGAATCTTTTTTTCAACAGCTTGACTGTTTAAGATCTATCAGCATAGACCTTTAAGATCTATCAGCAAAGATACAGTATCAGTTGCAGTCAAACACTAAATGGCCAAAATCTTATTGAGGTTTTATGTTAAAGCCATAAAACTTAGTATGGAAGAGAAAATCTTTACACTAATTTAACTATAGGCAATTTGCCAATGAGAATTATGCCAATTACAATACACTATCATACATAATTAACAGGATTTTGGTCAATATGTTTGCATATTAGTTACCAAATACATCTTAACATTAAATATTTATTTCCTTTTATTTTAATGTCATCTTTCTGCCCTAGGAGACCCAAGATGGCTTACAGTCAACTAAAATCATGCCATATTTGCTGTTAGAAACTCTACAGAGAACACACTAAAAACAATTAATCATATAGCAATATTTTAAAACACCATTAAAAATCTTTTTTAAAAAAAGTTTTTAAAAATAGATGGACCATTCCTTTAAAAAAAAAAACCCACTATTGAGTAAAGGCCTCCTTGAAAAGGAAGGTCTTTGCCTGAGGACAGAAGGACAAGAGACTGGGGACCATTCAGGGCAGTGCATTCCAAAGCCTTGAAACCACTATTGAGAAGGTCCTCTCTCTCATCATCACCAAACAAGGCTGTGAGGGAGGTTGGACAGCGATACAGCCCTACAGATGGATTTAGTTCTGACTGGGTAAATAATACTACTTCTGTTTACCATCTCTCAGAGTACTGTTTGTTTGTTCCTTTTTTGTGAGGGAAGTTGGACAGCGATACAGCCCTACAGATGGATTTAGTTCTGACTGGGTCAATAATACTACTTGTGTTTACCATCTCTCAGAGTACTATTTGTTTGTTCCTTTTTTGTGAGGGAATTTGGACAGCGATACAGCCCTACAAATGGATTTAGCTCTGACTGGGTCAATAATACTACAGTACTTGTGCTTACCATCTCTCAGAGTACTGTTTGTTTCTTTTTAGTACTCAAATACTTATTGTTTTAGATTTAATAGTGTCTTTTAATGATGTAAGCTACCACTTTATACTCATTGCTTTCAGCTTTAAATATTGTCTTTCAATGATGTAAGCCGCCTTGGGTCCTTTTTAAAGAGAAAGACAGGTAAAAATATTTTAAGCAACAACAATAATAAATAATTATAAATATCTGATAATAAATTCAAATTACAATTGGCAGATGCTTTTTAGAACAGGCATTCCTTCCTTTATTATTTAGAAACTTGAATAATAATTACATATCATTAAGTCAATTAACTAAATAATATGAATTAATTTAATTAATTAAATTATACATCTTTTAAGTGACTAAAACATTTTTAAATAAGTTGATCCATTTAAATATAAGGATTTATGCAAGCTTGTACATTTGTTTTCCCTTCTGCATTGGCCCCTCCTATATACTCTGTCTATAAAGTCATAAAGAAAAATAATTAACTTTTTAATGTGCTGCCAAATCAGTTAGAGATGCCTTTCCACTTAATTAAGACATTTCAATATAGTAATCTGACTGACTAATCAATGTTGCAATTCTAATGAAATGTACAGAATTAAAAACAAGTTTGTAGGACGCCTTATGCTTTAGGGAGGGACAAACCATTCAGAAGCTTCTCATTGTCTTCCCTATTCACCTTTACATCCAAGATGGACAGCTGACGGGCCTATGAAAGCAAAACATATAATAAAGCTGACATTTGCATATCTGGCAGTGAGGAGGAAAAGAAAAATCAAAAGTTAAGTAATCATGGCACACTTTAATTATTTCTCCTGTTTTTTCCCACCACCCTTCCTATTATAAATCCCAGAGAGTTGCCTGCAGACAAGACATCCACAACAAGATGGAATATAGAATAAGAGTCAAGAAAAACATTGTGTGTCGAGAAAAATCTTACCACTAAGACACCATTAGAAATCAGCTGTTCTGGAGGTCCTAGACTAAAAGTCAGACAAAACAGAAAAGTAAAAGAAAAACCCAAGTAAGACAGGGCATGTCTTCCAAGAATCCTACTCAGAACAAACTAAACTAAATTAAACCCTGATCAGCCAAGTTACTAAAGTGTTCACAAGGAGTATCCAGAAGAAGTGCATTTCAATTTATTTACTAACTTTTCCTTTCAGTAACTTATAACTCACTTGTTTTCCATACATATAATACACAAAAACAAGGCCAAAAATAGAGAAAAGAATGATACCAGATTTCTTAAATGGTCGTTGAGATGTGATACAATTTATTTATGTTTAAATTTATTTAAAACGTTTTTACCCCACCTTTCCCATTGAAAAGAACCTGAAGTGGCTTACATGATTTAAAAGATAATATTTAAAAATTGAAAAGAACCTGAAGTGTCTTACATGATTTAAAAGATAATATTTAAAAGCCAAAAACAGTAAATATACAAACATTTGAAAAGAATTAAACATATATTGTATTAAGAACAGTAAATAAAATCAATACTGAAAATACATTTAAAAGCAACAAGGCACAGCAATCCATTTAAATAACCTGTCTCAGACAACTAAAGGAAAACCTGCCTGAAGAAAAAGGTCTACATCCGCCTGTAGAGGCACAGATGGGACCAGCCTGGCCTCTTGTAAGAGTGCCTGTAGAGGCACAGATGGAACCAGCCTGGCCTCCTGTAAGAGGGAGTTCCAGAGTCTCAGAGCAGTGACAGAGAAGGCCCTCTCCCCATGTTCCTATCAAGCACGTTTGTGAAAGTTGTGGGACCAAGAGAAAGGGCTCCCCTGATGTTCTTAACACCTAAGAAGGCTCATAAAGGGAGACAGAGTCCTTGTGACAGCTTGGACACAAGCCATTTAGGACTTTAAACCAGCATTTTGAATTGTGTCCAGAAATGGATCAGTACAGTAACCAGCCCCAATTACCAATCTGGCTGCAGTGTTTCGGACCTGATGAAGTGTCCCAACACTTTCCAAAGGCAGGTTTCAGACTTAATGAAGTGTCCCAACACTTTCCAAAGGCAGTCCGGCATAAAGCACATTACCATCATCCAGCTGGGATGTACTCTAATAATAAACTAATAATAATCTGTCACCATGGCCGGATCAGACCTCTCCAGGAATGGTCATAGCTGGCACACTAGTTTCAGCTATGCCTGGCCACCACCAAAACCTGGGCACCTTGGCTCAGAGATGAATCAAGGAGCATCCCCAAGCTATGCACCTGTGTTATCAGAGGGAGTGTGCCCCATCCAGCATAGGCTGGATTCCCTATTCCCCGATCTGCTTTTCAATTAACCAGGAGCACCTCTATCTTGTCTGGATTCAGTTTCAGTTTATTTAACCCTGATCCAGTCCATTACTGACACCAGACACTGATCTACAGTGGAATTCCTATGAGTATGCTAAGATGCAGACATATGATATGTTTTCTTACCAGCTTGTACATAATAAATCACTTACATTTCTGTCAACTTGAATTCCACTTCTAGGGATTCATAATTACCAGAACAGTCTTCTTTCTGGTAACATTAAAACAACAATGAAATATTCATATGTGCAACCAATGCAAAAAGGCATGTGCACTGTATGTACAAAGGCATAATTGACAAATCCATTCCACGGAGTTGCTGACCTGTGCCACAATCAGAGTATACTTGGGACTCAGAAATTGCAGAGCCCACAGCCCTTTCAAGAGCCGTATATGCTGCCATGGCTGGTCAATATAGCTACAAACAGAAGTAATCCACTGGCATTTAATTTTCATAGGAATGGTTGCATCTGCTGTGGCCAATCACAACAACCAGCACTTGCTTTCATACCCCCCTTTCTGGTTTATGTGGCATAATATAAATGAAACATATTTGGATTTGTTGGAGTTTAGCTCCCTGCGCTTTCCGTTACATGAGCTACATCAGTACAGATCATGGATTGTAGCCTAACGTTAGTATAAGCCATCTCTACATGTCATCTGTAAATAAATCAGAATCGTTTACATTGTGTCAAAGTATTACATATGGTTTACGTATATGGCCATGGAGCCAGAGGTTGGGAGTTTGATTTCCCACTGTGTCTCCTGTGACTTGAGCCTTGAGCCTTGAGCAAGCACCACAGTCCCAGGGTGCCCCCAGAAGAAGGGAATGGTCAACCATGTCTGAGTATTCTGTACCTTGAAAACCCTGAAAAGGGTCCCCGTAAGTCAGATTTGACTTGGCGGTGTGCAATTATTATATGTACACTGTTGCTAATGTGATTATGGAAGCAGTACTAGCAGAGATAAAGTTAATACTTTGTCCCATGCTACTTTCTTAAACTAAATTCTCCTGCCAAGCTACCATCTCTCATGTTGAAGAAGAAATACATATAGTACTGTATTGTACTTGCAGTCCCCAGGCTTGCAGGGTTAATATCAAAGGCAGAGGAAGAATTTTGATTGGGATGAGGAAAGAAGTTAAACACCATTTCACTTCACAACAAATCCTCTGTCAATAGCAAATTCACACAGCTAGTTTTAAGTACAGAAAGGAAAATCCCACCACTCCTGTATCACAAATAACTTGATTGTTAACACAGAAATATTGCGAAGGGGGAAAGTCACCCTATTTTGTTATCAACATTTGGAGGGCTTCCCACAAGATGTTAACACCCAGGTAGGTTGTGAATTTGCCTGGGCAGGCCTTAAAATAATTTCACATTGCAGTTTATAAAATGGCAAGTACAAAACTTTCCAAGAGAAATGTCACTTGTCTTATCTACCAGAGGTGGGAACATTTTGACCCTCCAGAGCTTATAGGCTATACCTTTCACAGGATATATTGGGCACTGGATATATTGTCTGGAGTTTCTGACAGTTAAAACCCAAAGCTAATGAAGGTCAGAAGTTCAGCACCCTTTTCATAGCTGGTGGATCTCTCTCATACACTATAACTCAATAAATTAATTAATTAATTAAACAGGGCCGACCTGGTCATTAGACTGGTTGAGCTGAAGAATTCCTTCTGACTGCCAGCCCTGCTGCAGCACAGGTCGTCTCCAATATCACCCTGTCCTCCATTCCCCAGGAAGGCTCTATGGTCTAGCTTGCCCTCCATCCCTCATGAGCAAAAATGCCAGAAGGGCAGAAATGGGAGTGCAAGAGCAGCTACAAAAAGGGCAGGTGCCCTCCTACCATTATGCAGTGGCTCCCACTCAAATTAGCTTCATACATAGCATTTTAGTTGAAGCTGTAGAGCCACTTATAAAGATAATTTTTAAAAAAGAAATATTTGCCAGCTGTCCCCTTTTTGGGTGCCAGCTGTTTGTGGTTATTATTCTCCCACATTCTCCAGAAATAGAATTGCTGGGCTTAACATCAATTGTATTTCAGGGACATGTTTATTTATTTATTTTATTATTTATTTGTTCAATTTGTATACCACTCATCGGGCTACATAGGAAAAAAAATCAATCCAAAGGAATCCCGATTGTGATGGAGTAAGTAAAAGTTTATTTCTAGTTTTTCTTTACCAGGAAGACTTATGGGTTCAATCAAATATAAAGTTATTAAAAACTTGAGAAATCTGACATTTACTAAACCCGGAGAATGACAGCAACCTGAGCATCTGCTTTTTATGGGCAGCCAAGTGAATGTTCCATCCCTCACCTCAGGTTTTAAGGAGAATATCTCAAGGACTCTTCCTCCAGGCTGGACTTTTGCCAAGTCAAACAGAACGGTAAATTGTGTTTCATCCTTGGTGGCAGGATTAGCATCACAGAACTCTAACTCTAAAGTATTCTAAGAAAAGAAGAAAAGGAATGTAAAAAATGCATATTCTATTTTTTTTACAGAGATAGCAGTCTTTAATCCACATTCTACCAAATCAACTGAGTTTTTACCATTGACATTGATTGACACTTCCACATGTAAGCATCCTCCAGATTGCAAGGCTCATAAATGGGATGACGTCTGTACAAGGGAACTTGCAGCCTTTCAACTGCAGTAATCTTATTTCTTTTGCAACCCCTACTGATGAGTGTGAGGAGAATCCCAAATGCCTCTTTTCCTCTACAATTCCTTCCTTGTCCATTTATATTTTATAACAACTGTATCTGTTCTTCAAGTGATTTTCATCTGTGTATCACTGTAACTTCTATGTGTGGCTCGTTTTCTATCTCTGTGAAGATAGCTCAGTGGTTTAGGTTGGAAGTTCAATTTCCTATTGTGCCTCCAGCTAATGTGGCCTTAGATAAGCTGTACAGTCCCAGGGAGTCCCCAGAAGACAGGAATGGAACACCACTTCTAAGTATTCTGTACCTGGAAAACTCTGAAAAGAGTCACCATGAGTCATTATAAGTGGTTTGATGATGATGATAATGATAATGGTGGTGGTGGTGGTGGTGATGATGATGTTTGTTTGTTTGTTTACTACCCGTCTTGGCAGTTTACAGCAAATCATCATCATCATCATCATCATCATCATCATCATCATCATCATCATCATCATCATCATCGTCGTTGTTGTTGTTGTTGTTGTTGTTATTCAAAAATACCAAGCACAGTCAATCAAAAATATAAAAGATTGAGGCATATTATAAAACAGATACCAGTTTTAACCAAAAACCTAATTATCTGTTAAATATTCGCACTATATATGCTGTTCCTAATTTTGCCAGTATTTATAGCTCTGATTGTGTCATTTCTGAGATCTGCAACTGCTTATAGTACTGTGTGAAATTTCTTGATATTGTTCCCAAAGCCCCAATGTCGACAGGGACCACTGAAGTTTGTTTCTTCCAGAGGCAAAATGTTTCAATTGCCAGGTCTTTTCCCCTGGAAGAAACAGCAATCTGTACAGAATTATTACAAGTCCTGTGCACAATGGCATATTTCCTATCAAAATTGCCTGGAAAGGCCATGAACTTTGTAGAATTTGGCAATTTCTTGAACAAAAGAAGAGTTGAAAAATAAATAATAACAATAAGCAGGGAAATTGATACCATGAAAGCCAAGAAATGTTGCTCCTGCAAGGGGAAATCTCAACTAATAGTCTTGACATGGATAAATTTAGAAACTGTGAACAATAAATTTTGCAAGCGTTTCTCACATCCCTACTAAACATAATGAGTGCGTCTTACACTCAGTTTGCATTGAACCTCCAAATGCAAATACCCTCAGCTGTGGAGGGAGGGTAATCATTTTGGGATCCCAACAGGCATGGAAGTGGGAAATTAGCCTTTTTCTTCCCAATTAGAAAAGTCCCTTCTCTGAAGGTGTTATTTGCTTTGGCTGAAAATTGCATGTGCAAGGAAAGAACTGCATCTACCTTCTACAGTTGTTGGGATATGATAATTATGCAGCTGGTGCCATTTGCATTTTTAAAACCAGTATGTCAACTGCCTCTCATCTTGTTCAGTCCTCAGGTGAACTACTTGCCTGTGATCTTAGGAATGTATCAACATTTGTTTCTGCATGTAAACACAGCTGGCCATCTCCTTCTGATAAGTGTACCTAAATATAATTCTTAAAAACAAGCATTTTCAGTTCAGAAACATCCCACCAAGAGAGTCAAAGAGAATGATTAAATAAGCATTCAACTCACCATTTGGTTTGTGGGGATCAGCTGGCTTGCTCCTTTTGCTGGCAATCAGATAGCATCATTGCTAGAGCAAATCAGCCACCCCACTTCACCCCACCCCAAAGTGTTTGTACCCACATCTTACTGCATTCCTGTCAGGGGCTGCTACTTTTTAGGCATACATAGGATTGGTCCATTTTGGTTCGATTCCACCATGTGTGATTCCTGGGATTGAACCAAAATGACTCACTGGCTGTCTTTTTTTGGAGGATCCACTTAATCCCTTTTGTAGGATCCCCTGTTGTGGGGAAAATGTATGCTTTTACAATGTATATATCTGTGGCAGTAGCAGACATTGTGCTTGGGCGCGCAGGTCACGTATACGGTGTGCTAGCTTCCAGTAAAGGATGATTCATTAACCTGCTTTGGTATCTAGGATATTAAAAGCAAAAGCAAAGTGTGCTGCTTATATACTGCCCCATAGCACTTCAAGCACTCTCTGGGCGGTTTACAATTTAATTATGCAGGCTACACATTGCCCCCCCAGCAAGCTGGGTACTCATTTTACCGACCTCGGAAGGATAGAAGGCTGAGTCAACCTTGAGCCGGCTACCTGGGATTTGAACCCCAGGTCGTGAGCACAGTTTTAGCTGCAGTACAGCGGTTTAACCACTGCGCCACGAGGCTCTGGGTAAATTGTATTAACTTACTTGTGTATTTAAGGTGTTATCTGTCTCTGTTTACCCTGCTCGTGTATTCAGGAATGTTTACCCTGCTTGTGTATTTAGGGTTTACCTGCCTCTGTTTACCGGCCCCTCTGTTTACCCTACTTGTGTATTCAGGATATTACCCGCCTCTGTTTAGAATGGTACTTGATTAACTTGTGCAAAGGTAGTAGAAAACAATAAAAGGGGGCGCGGCGAAGGATCGGGAGGAATTCCCGGTGAACAGCTGCTGCACAGCATGCTGTTTTGATCATCCGGATCCCGTCCTGAAACCACACTCGAGTGCTTCGCCTCTTCCTTTCTCCTTGCTGGTCAAGAGGGGGGATAGGCTTCATCTGCAGATCCCTACAACAAGGCTTCATCTGCAGATCCCGACAATAGGCTTCATCTGCAGATCCCTACAACAAGGCTTCATCTGCAGATCCCGACAAAGGCTTCATCTGCAGATCCCGACACCCTGTGCTCTCCTTTGCTCTGCAGGTGAAGGGCAACAGCTTTGTATTTCTGCTTAACTGTCGCAAATTTATCAGTGATGCTTTATCAGTTTTAAGTGCCATCAAAGCATCACTGGTTCACTGTGTTTTTTTAAAGCAACCATTAAAAACAAAAATCTCCTTTCCCCTCCAAAGACAAGGAAGATTTGAAGGGAAACCTTTCCATTTCTCAGTTGAAGTTTTCTCAAATCAGAAATGGGAAACATTCCCTTTAAACCTTCCTTGTCTTTGGAGGAGAAGGGAGACCCAAAAGAGTCTCATTTGCTCTTAATGGTTGCTGAACAATGCAGTGAATCAGTAATGCTTTGCCAGCACTTTTTAAAAACAACTTTCAAAGCATCCCTGATACCTTAGCAACAGTTTAAAAGAAATACAAAAACTCACCCCCCACACCTCCTTTTAAAAGAGAGCCTTTTAAAAGGGAGATCTTGATCATGCCAAACAGCGTTGCTTGAGGTGCTGTTTCCTGATTCAAACCCATCCAATCCTTGTCTGTAGATGAAAGGATCACACTGCACCCCTATAAGCATCCTTATGTAGCCTGATCCAACCCATTCCAGTTTGGCCATCAAGCCAAGCCTGAACATTATCATTGGTGATCTTTCTTTTCCTTGAAAATCCCAAAACTGAGCAGCTGAGTGTTTATTCTGAAGAGTTCATTGTTTTCAAACAAGTTTTGCAGTTTTGTCTGCCAAGGCCCTGCAGGCTTTCCAGAGAAATGGATAGTGTCTTACCTTACCTTGATTCGAGTTTGGATTCTAAAGAAGAATGTCTCATTCCAGACTGGGTTATCAGAGCTCTTTACGGTTTGTGTTCTGAATTTCTTATATGATGCTGTTGGTAGGTACAAGGTAACATAGCAATCAGATGCAGAAGCTGCAAAAGAGAACAAAATAATTCTATTAACTATATATTCGTGCTTTTAATCAAACAGGTATTAAGTCTTCATAGAGGCAAAGGGGGAATTCTCCTCACTGTCTAAAGGAAGGGATAGCATCTATGTCTGAAAATGTCTTTGCAGTAGAGAGTACGTAAGGCACAGAAAGATAATGTGGTGCTAATGCCAGTTTTCTGTGATATTCACTTTAACTATATGGCTATTAAAAGAACTTGAGCAACCGAAAGAAATGTGTAGACAAAGATACACCAGTGCACAAAGAGGAAAGATGCTCCAGGAGATGGCAGGAAACCAAGTCCCCAAAACAAACTAAGTAGATAAAGAGAACAGCCCAGAAGGTAAATTGAAGAATAGAAACCTGTGGAGAGAACAGGTCGAAAAAGAAGTAGGGCCAAAGGAATACAAAGAAAGCCAGATCTTCAGCTATGGGAAGGCTTCAAGGGAAACTAAGGACACTGCTGCAAGAATTACTGTTACATTCTGTATGCAGCATACTAATCAGTAGCCCAACTTATAATTTATAGAAGGGTAATTTGAATGACTATAACTTCAGAACAACTGGATCATATACAAGACACAATTCCTCATCTCTTCTTGGATTCTGTTTGTATGGGATCAACCCAACTATATGAGACGTTAGGCTTCAACACTTCATCTTGTACAGAGGCCACTGATCCTGTGCTTTTGTTGCAAACAGCATTCTTTTTCAAACATGAGAAGCTGAAACAAGTATTTATCTATCTATTTTCCTTGTGGGACAAACTGTTGAACTGATATCATTGTGGGTGCAATGGGACCTCGCTAGTTACATGGGAGCAAAAATTAGGAAGCTCCAGCCAAATCGTCACTCAAAGCTTTTTTCCATGTTATGCCGAAGAAGTGTAACTGGAAAGAGATCAGCTGAGTTTTTATAGAACAACAGTGCCCATCCTGATGGTCTTGGACTATAAATCCCCAAATGTTCAGAAATACCTTAAACTCTGACCTATGCCATTCTAGATGTTACAGGGTCACAGTTGGTCTACCTACTACAAATATAGTTTTCAAAGTGAAAGATTGGCCCATCACTCTTTGAGTAGCCCTTTGTGAACTGACGCATACCCTCTGAACAGGGAATGGCAAAAACTAATGTTTCAACAATTAAACGTTATTTTGGAAACATTATTTATACAAAATTAGATTTTAAGACCCTATTTCCTGCATTAGTAATCTAGCCAATAGCCATATTAGTCTGTTGTAGCACAAGAGACACAGGCCGTCTTGTATAGTGCCTTTAAGACAAACTAGCTTTACTGGTGTTGGCCCAGAAGTGTAATAAATTTAACATTAACATATTAATTCTGCACTAACATAATAATTGCATTATTTCCAAGCTCTGGATTAGTTAGTCTTTCCATTCCTTTGAACTGTATGAACTAGTGTTACACAGACCTACTCTTGAAGATGATCACTGAGTGTATGTAGCCATTTGTAATAGGTAAAGCATGATAATTTTTGCATTAACAACATTACCTAAATACCTGATAGGAATTCCTGTCTATGACTAACAGAACAGAGCAGCATACTCATATGCTCATACTGATTTTGGAAGTAGAATGAAGCTCCTACTGTGTACGTTTCCATGATTTTACAGCTCATCCACTGATGAACTAGGACAATAGTTCACAACCTTGGGTAACCCAGATGTGTTTGAACTGTGTGTGTTTTGTGTGTGTTTAGTCGTTTCTGGTAACCCAGGTGTGTTTGAACTGTAATTCCCAGAAACCCCAGCCAGCACAGCTAGTGGTGAAAGCTTATTTAGTCCAAGAAGCCCTGGGTTACACAAGGTTAGTAACCAGAGAAGTAGGTTATTTCACTCTTAACCTATGCCAAATGATTGCTTGGCAAGTGGGTAAAATGGGCCAGCTTTGCCATAGAGATCAGGATCAATATGTGAGAATGATTTAATATTGCCAGAAAATAAAATTTATTTAGACATACTGGCTGTGGGAATCTGGGAGTTTTTCCCCCCAAACAGGTAATTTTTCTAAGTCCTGCAACATCATTTAGGCACTCATTGTGCCACGTTTACAGAATTTCACTGGGAGTCTAGTTCCAATCTTATTCTCTCACTTCTTTCATCCTTTTCTTGCCTCAAAAGGAAGGAAGGATGGAATAGCTGCACAACATTGCATGATTGGTAATGATTGAAGCCATCCTCCAGCATAACATTGCTTGATTGGTAATGATTGAAGCCATCCTCCAGATACTAATCATATAGAAACACTTTCCAGATGTTACAGGTACATGGACTGTAAACAAGAGAGGAAAACAGTGATAGCAAGCCATGACTGATCTGTTCCGATGTATGGGACTACCTGCTTCGATCCATGTGTGCCTACAACTCTGCATGTTGCTTTTGTAGATGTCAAACAGGGCTTTCTAAGGATCTGCATTAGAGATGGGAGTATTCATATTCATATACGAATACAAATATCCCCTCACATGCAGCATTAATGAGGGTTCAGCCCCATGAGGCTGGATGGGCCATTCATTGATCAACTGCAGACACAGTTCTTCCTTCCCTCTCTTCCCTTTGTCATCCTGCTCTTCCTCATATTATGCTACAAGCCCACACAAGATTCCATACACTAATTCTTTTTTAATATTTTATTTAGTGCAATGGTAAAAGGAAGAGGATACGCAACTTACATGTATCTCTGGAGATGATGTTGGCTTTTATGATTCTGACAGACAGGAGGGAAACTGGAAACAGTTGGTTCTGCAACGAAAGCAAAGCCAATGAAGTTCATACGAGCCAGCCCAGAAGTTACCGTGGGTTCTTCGGTATGTGACGCAGATTTAAACACATTGTTTTTTAAGAAGAAATGTTGATGCAAAAGTCATCACAGACTTCCAATGTGGCCAATAGGCTGTATCATCTCACACTTAACATCAAAAAAACTCTCTTCGGTATGTGACACAGATTTAAACACATTGTTTTTAAAGAAGAAATGTTGATGCAAAAATCATCACAGACTTCCAATATGGCCAATAGGCTGTATCATATCTAACAGTCCTCTGCCATCCCATCTCCCTAGTCAGTCCTAAGATTCCTTGGAAGCTTATCCATGAGGGTCAGCTCTTGTGAACAAGCTTTTATGAATGATGTGGATGACATTCAGCCTATAGTGTGCGTGTTTTCCTGCCATAATAACCAGAAGAGAGTTTTGGATGCTGATGGTTTCTCTGGCCAAAGGCAGTGAATGGAAATGCTAGAACAGTAATATGAACACATGAAAGCAGGGTCAGCCGGTCAGTAGGCGATAGTTTATGTAGACAGAAGTGGAGGGAAGAAAGAAGATCTAACAGCTTTGTAACAGATGGTGGGACTGAATGTCTCTTGATTAGAGTTGGGATATTCATATTTGTCTCTCAGGGAAGATGAATACGAGTACAGTATTGCCACCACAGGTTGCCGGACCAATTGGATTCACACACACCCCAGAACCAGGATGTCCACTTACGGCTTCTGATGCAGAACTCGCAGCCATTATCATTCATGCCACTACAATTGTGGAAGTAGCCATGCTGGGGCTTCCCCGCCTCCCTGCACTGCTGACCAATCTGGCGAGGAGGCAGGATGATGAGTCTCCCCACTCGGTTGCTGACTGGTCAGCAGTGCAGAGAGGTGGGGAAGCCCCAGCCGGGCTACGCCTGCAATTGGTGCAGTGTGAAGAATGATGGCTGCAAGCTTTGCATCACAAACAGTAAGTGGACAGCCTGGTTCTGGGGGGTGAGTCCAACTGGCATGGCCATGTGTGGTGGCGATATTCGTATTCATCTCCCATCTCTACTCTTGATTTAAAGGGTTCCGCGTTTCTAGAGTGTACCAGTCAGCTCTGACTGATCAGCAAACCAATGTTTTCTGCAGGGTTCTTGAACATTTGGGCCAGATTAACATAGATCAAAACATTGAAAATCCTTATGACTGAACTTAAACAAACTTATTTCTCTGAATCATGGTTAGAGCCCTAGGGCCATGCATGTACACGGTCTAGCATTACATCCAAATTAGAACTGTGTTGACATCTCTCACACATATTTATTTATACATAGGTTCCAAATGTGTGTGCCTGTTACTATTACAGTACTACAGTAGTTTCCAACTGAAAGGGCAAAGCATTACAAAAATATGTATATATAGTCCAAAACAACAAGAATAGCAATGAGAAAAAATTAAAGACTATTTTGATTTGTTTGCTGCCCAGAGTAGTGGCCTTGCCACTTAGTCAGGTGGCATAAAAATACAAATACATACATACATGCACGCACACACGCACGCACGCACGCACGCACGCACGCACGCACGCATACATACATACATACATACATACATACATACATACATACATACATACATACATACATACATACATACATACATACATACATACATACATACATGCATACAAAAGATCCTGCTAAATTTGGGGAGATAAACAGGTCTTCACCTAGAATCAAAGACAAATGGGTCAAGACGAAAGTTTATGGTCAAGCAAACCTCTCCAAGAAGATAAGTCTGTAGGCAAGGTGCCATTATCAAAAGCATCCCCTCCCTGAGTGCTATCAGGCACACCACCAATGGTGGGGCCACTCAGAGGAAGGTATCAGCAAGCAGCAACTCTGCAATGGGACTAGGCATTCCTTCAGGGACGTGGTTCTCAAGATGTGTAAGGCTGAGTATCTTTATGTTCTCTCTGCCTTTGATCTAGAGATTCTATCTCATCTACTTGTTACAAAATCCAGCAGTAGGCACAGACACGCTGCCAAGATTTGCAATAACCTTTCCTCATCCAGGATCATAAAGCCTTGAAGAGGTGGAGGCCTTGTCAGAATGTGCAGCTTTTTGCCTGCATGCTCATGACCCAGAAGGCTATGCAACACAGCTGCAAATAGAGTTTAACAGGCTGAAATGTGCTACCCTGTATTAGATGTTTTACTATCATTTAAGCCAGTGGTCTCCAACCTTGGGCCTCCAGATGTTATTGGACTACAACTCCCAGAAGCCTTCACCACCACCTCTGCTGGCCAAGGTTGGGGACCACTGATTTAAGCAGTCTTGGATGCAGAACATGACTCCTCAGATATATCAAGTATATGCCTGTAAAAGCATGTGCAGATTCCAGACTAGTTTGCTCCAGGAATTAATCACGTGATCACCAAAAAAGGGAGTGAACCAGCCTGTCCCCTTAGCAGACGAAACAATGGGGGAAACGCTCATCTGATCATAACCTTAGTCATAAAGCTTGCTTGACGTCCTTGGGGCAATCAATACCTCTCAGTCCAAGCTACTTTACAGGCTGAAACAGGGAAAGGAACGCCATTTCAAAAAGCCATCTATATTGCTGGCATACATAAACAAATATACAGTATAATGATATTTGCCATGCACAAGGGCTTCTGGTGGGTTTTTTTTTTTTTCATTTTTCACCATCAGGTCTTACAGATGATAAAACAAACAAACAAACAAAACCCCTAAAGGTCTAAGAGAATGTCATAGGAATCCTTCATGAGTGACATACTCTTTTATGATTGCAGGAAAAAAATGCACAGAAAAGTGTAGATAAAACTGCAGAGATCAGGCACAAAAGCAAAGTGCGATATGTTTCAAAAACCAAATTGAATATTTTATTACAGCTGGAAAATGCCCTAGTTTAACTTTCTTTGCCAGAGCAAGTGCCAGCCCAGCAACTCATATTTTGTTTCCACTTCTCAACATACATCCTTCCAAACCCTCATCCCCATAAGCTACTGCTTTCTTTTACTGCTATGGGCTCATACGAGGTTCATTGCGGAGATTGGTCAATCTATTTTTTCAGGCTATATCACCCAAAATCCTTCAGCCACCACAGTCAGTGGATTCTGGGAGTTGTAATCCAAGAAAGAAATGTTGCCAAACTTTGGCTTTTAATAACTTCCTCTTTCCAGAAATTTAAGATCCACAACAACCATGAGATCAATAAAGATGATCATAACAATACTACTAATAGTAATAATAGGCAAAAGCGTTGAATAATTTATTCTTCTTCTCCTATTTGTTTCCAAAAACTGTGGGAAATAAAAATGGAACTCTACAGCTCAAGTCCTATCTGGTTGTGCCAATTTATGTCCCAGCAGATTACCTTTATAACATAGTCCAGTATTTATTGTAGAGCTTTCGCCTTTGACCACTTTAATGTATTCTCATATAAGCTACTAGAAGGAAAATGCTTTTGCATCCCTTATTCACAATGCCTTTCTCCTTTCCAGTTAGGTATGGTGGAGACCATCAGTCATGTTTTGTTTATTTTATCAAGCCTTTCAAAATATTTAATTTCTCCTTTTTTAAAATTCTCAGGCAGATCTGACCAGTGTCATGTCTACCTTCTTCTTTTTGATTTTTCATAGCACATCTTAAGGCAGGGCTAGTCAAAGTTCAGCCTGTAGGCATCATGTAGCCCTACCTCCATTGGGAAGGGCCTCCTAGATGCCTCCATGAGTGACATACAGATCTGGCCATTTTTGGAATTTTAAAAAAAAAGGAATTTAAAAATTTTGGAATTTTTAAGCAAAGAAAAAAACATTTTTCTTTCAGGATGGAGACTATGGATCTCTGGCAAATGTGTCTCTACAAGGTCCAAAAGTTGAATGCTGTCTCCAATCTCTGATTGTTGTCCAAACCTATCTTTAAAGAAAAGTACATCAGAACTCCATGTGTAATCTGAGGACTGCCACTCTCTCACAAACCTGCTCCAATCTAAGGAACTAGGGGAACTGGTTTGTGACTTTGATAACTCACTAGTAAACAATTTAGTGGAATCACGCTATGAGTTACCCATTCCCTCCAGTAGCTTTTATTACTAGTTTATTTATTTATTTATTTGATTTGATTTGTACCCCGCCTATCTGGACTACCAGACCACTCTAGGCGGCTTCCAATATGAAATAAAAATAAAATACAACAGAAATACAAAAATGTGCATAGACATGGAATAATAATTACAACCACAGTAAAATAAGGAAAAATAGTATAAGGAAAAATTAGAAAAAGAATTCAGGAATTGGCTGGAGGGAAGGCCTGGATGTATAGCCATGTTTTTAATTGGGTTTTAAAAACACCCAGTGTAGGGGCCGCGTGAATCTCTGGAAGGAGGTTGTTCCAGAGCCAAATAAATAAATAAATAAATAAATAAATAAATAAATAAATAAATAAATAAATAAATAAATAAATAAATAAATAAATAAATAGTTATCTGTACATACCAGATACACAGAAAGTATTCCACTTATGCTGGACAAATGTTATGACGATTGCCACCTTCTATTTTAGAAAAACTCTGGAACACAAGTGAAGGCTGCAAATGTTCAGGCGAAGTACTGCAGCTCACAGTTCCAATTTCTCATGCCCTGTTCCAAGATACTCCATTACAACATCCATCTGATACTCCACTCCCTCCAGTTTTAGACATGTTTTGTTTTTAAAAGTAGAACAACATGGTTCTAAAAACAGAGCAACATAAAAACAGAGCAGCAGAAGTTCAAAAAAAGGGAAGGAAGAATCACCTCAGAACAACCTAGCACGACCTGACCATGCTCACCAACCATAGTATGGTAGATTGTTTGTGGGAGTGGGAAAAATGCAGGAAAAGGCTGGTTGGCTCAAATCCTGAACAAAAATACTCAACAAGACAGTATTTTGCTGTAGGCACCACTTAGCCTTAACAGCGTTGGACACAAAAT